CGCTACTGCATTAATTTTGTTTAATTTATTAACAGTTCTTTTATAAATATCTCTTATTCTCAGAAATCCTTTTACAGGTAAAATATTTGTCCTTGGAATACAAGATAAATGATTCTACAAAACAATACATTTTTTTTACTACCTGCGATTTAAAATTGCTATACACTCGACCAAGCAAAGCATCAAACTCACTCACATACGCACAAACGACAAAGAAATGCAAGATCAACGTCCAGCAAAAAAACTAGTATTGTTTATTGGCACGTAAGATCTAGAGGGTAGGCATTAGGGTAGCGTTAGATACGTACCGAATAAATTGATCGATGCCAAGCTTCAGATCAGAGCCAGACATGTACATGTTATTGTATAATGGGATTACTAAAATGTGAAGTAGTTGATGTTTCGCCACCATTAGTAAAAATAGGCATCGATTAAACATAAACAATTTTAGATATGCAGCTGTGGACCTCGGTAAATGTTGTACGGTCATTTTCGTATTTGAAATGGGTATTTACCGATCGCCGGAGACAATTAACCGCGGAACACTTAAGGCAACTGTTAATTATTTTCTACAATCATTTTCCTTATGAATAAGAAATTATTATTTTTTAACTTTTGCTGGTACTTATTACGTGCTATATGTACCTATATATTTTACTATAAGTTCCATGTGAAGCGTTTAATGTAGAAAAATAGATACTGGACTCTTTTTGATTCATACTATTATGCAGTTATAAAGAAGACAACGGTTGTCACTTTTTGTTTGAATAAAATTGCATAAAACAAAACCCGGCCTACAACCAACCCTGTACCACATTAGAGCCGCCTTAACATTTCCGATCTCTAATAATTATATACTACTTAGATTTTGAGTCGTACTCAAACAATTTATAGTAATAGTAGCTTTTCTAATAGCTTTGATATAACCTCAGGTGTACCGCAGAGCACAGTGTTGGGACCTTTGCTATTCTTGATATATACTTCCGATATCCTTAAGTCAATTGTAAGATTCAGGCTTATGCTGACGATGCTCAGCTATATTTTGATTTTCATCGTACTGACTATCTTCATGCAGCAGAACTTATTAACGAAGATTTACAAATTACTTTGTGAACTTTTTGATGATCATAATTTAAAACTTAATCCTTTAAAATCTCAGTTAATGCTATTTGGTTATAAAAAACAAAAGGATTTTTTAAAAGATAATTTTGACATTCGTTTAAATAATTTACGCTTACCTTTTGTGTATTCAACTAAATATTTGGGCATCATTTTATTGTTAGATTCGGATTTTTGTTATAGAGATTAGGTACGTAAAGAAATTGTTTAAAAAATCTTAAAGCTCCTGTATTCTAATAGGCATACTTTAGATTTTTCTTTAAAAAAAAACAACTTTGTGAGTTACTAGTTTTATCAAATTTCAATTATTGTGATTTTATTTGTGGTTTCTGTTTAGATACGTCTTCTAAGAATCGTATACAAAAGGTACAGAATTTTTGCATTCGTTTTATCTATAGCTTAAGAAAATATGATTATATATCCAATAAGTGTCATGACCTTGGATGGTTAAAAATGGATAAACGAATTAAATTGCACCTCGGTTCTCTTGTTGTGAAAATTATTAACGGTCCTTCCTCCCCTCCCTCTCTTAGAGATAAACTTGTTTCTAGATATAATATTCATAATCTTAATATACGTGGTGGACAAAAATTAACTATTCCGCATCACAGTACTGCATTGTATCGTCGTAGTTTAACTTATATATATATAAAATAATAATAATAATAATAATAATAATAATAATAATAATAATAATAATAATAATAATAATTATTATTATTATTATTATTACCATTACCTAAAATTGAGAAAGTAAAAAAAAGTAAAACAAATAGTAAATTGCAAATTCCCGGTAATGTATAACCAGGACTTTTTTAAATCACGTCATTTTCTTCATCTTTTCACTAATAAATAAATAGAAAATGAAGTAGTTAGCAGTAGTTTTTAATTTTCTACAAAATATTTGCATATTTAAATTAAAATAAAATATTTCCATCAAATATTATTTGCAGGAAAAGAAAATTCCAGAAAAGCAAATATTTAAATTTCGCTATACTTATTCAGTTATTGAAATCTAAATTATCCATAATTAAAAGCTTATTAATATCTCCTGATTGTACTATCAATTTTTTTAAGCATTAAAATGTCATTTTTGAAATTGCCTCATTAAAAGCTTGTTAATATTTCTTGGTAATACTATTTCTTTTACAAGTTACGCTATCATAATACTATGCAGTTTACAAAACATTAAAATGCCATTTTTGAAATTTCTATGTTACCTACGTGTATTACCTATATACCAAATGTATGGTTCTAATATCAAATCCATAAAATAATTTGAAATGCGAAATATATTCAATATTTGACGAGGATCACAATATTAATTAAAAAAAAAATAGTAATGAAAGTTACATAATATCTCATATTTGCTACTGAATGTATTGTTTTTAAGTCACTACAAAATTAATTTACAAAAAAGTTCAACTTGTAAGGCAAAATCTAGTAGATACACTTTAGATACGTACCTACAAATTTAATTACATATACTTTTAAATAAAAAATAACTTTTTACTAATTTCATTATTTAAGCTGGGTAATAGTGATACAATTCAGTGGGAATTAAATCGTTACCTATTTAATTTGCGTTATATTTATTAAAGTGAAATACATAAAAACAACATAGTTACAACATTTTATTATAAAATATAAAACTTCTATATGGCATAATCATGCAGCAATGAGGAACCTTGCTGACTAACAACTTCAGGTTCGAATCCGTGTCAACAATATATGTAGTAGTCGGTTAACCCGCGAGAGGGACAGAGTGAAAATGAAGTGTTAACTTTTTTGGCTATGTTCAATGTTTATGAACTTCCATTTTCTTTGTAGAGAAATATGAATATTTTTTATATGTGAGAAAGAAAACACTTTTTTCATTTTAACTAGAATAACAACTATAACAAATCATTATAGTTATTGGTAACATTTTTCTGAGTGTATGTAAATCAGGCCTTTTAGATGTATTGCGAATAGTTTACAGTTAATATTTGGTGTTGTTGTTTAAACATTTTACAGTCTATGTCTATAAATTTTTTTTGTAATGAAAGTTTTATTAACTGTTAAAAACTGACTATATAGTTTTGTTACAATTTCGGTAGTTCTAGCAAAATATTTATTGGGGCATCAAATTTGTTTGCGAATAATTTCATTTTTGGAGAATTATTCGAATATATGTGTTTATGTTTTTTTTACTTGTTTTAATGAGACGAACCTGTCCTAAAAGTTTGTCGCAATGTAACTGCTACACTCTACATGAGGACATTTAGAACGAAATACTTTTTCAGGTTGAATTAGTGCCTTACTAAATAAATTAATTCTGTGAAAAGCAATCATTGTGATAAGTGTAATAATCAAAAGAAATAATTAATACTTAATCAGAAAAAAATAAATATGAAGTTATGCAGTTTACCGCAATCGCTTTTCATGACAGCAGGGCAAAAGTTACTGAAACATGCGGGCACGCGTTCGATAGGAAATCCCATCTACATCGCAACAACGGAAGGCAGTTGCTGTAACGGTAAGTTATTCTGAAATGCAGGCATCCACCTCTGGTTCTGAGAAGCCAGGACAACCCGAGTGAAGATCGCATGGTTCAGGAAAATGTAAGCGACTGTTGTTTGTTTAGAATATCCATATTCATACATTGGGGAGAGGTAGAGGTATATTTAGTATAAATATATGACTGGACAACAGGGACAGCATTGCACAGTTTGTATTGTTTTCAGTAGGAACTGAACACAGCTCGTAAAAATGATGAAAATTGCTTTAGTCCTTTCTTGTGTCGTCTTAGGGGCTTTGGTGAGTAACATTTTGTTTTATAATTGAAAGTTGATTCTAATGAGAAACAAATATCACAATTGATAGACATTATATTATTCTTTTTCTAATTTCATAAACATCCATATAATGTATGTCATGTCCAAGGATGAAGTTAAAAAGAAGGAAAACTTTTTATTTCTCATTTTATGAAGACAACTCGTTCTTGTTAAAAAATATCTTTTTATGTTGTTTTAAGTAGGCCAGTATATATAGCTTTACAACCTAGGAATGCCCTTTTTCAACTCCTGATATGTACAGGGTGTTCACATATCGTCTTAATTGTAATATTTTTAATTACGTTTCCACTATTTTGCAATCTTGANAGTTACTACATATTCAATGCATATCATTGCCTGCAGAGGGCGCCTCGTACTCGATACTCAAAAATCATTATTATATTATTTTTCCCATCATTAAAAAATCTATCTGTTGAAAATTTGAAATATTTCTGACTAAAATTATAGGAATTATTAAGGAAAGACCATTTTTTATTTTTCACTTTGACACCCTGTATCTTTTCTATTATGCGACTTGGGATATAGGTATGTTAAATTAAATCGACTTATTTTCACACAAGGAATCTCTGGTATCATTTGTGCCCCTCCATTTAAATACACCCTGAATATATATGAGAACATTTAGAACGAAATACTTTTTCAGGTTCAATTAGTGCCTTACTAAATAAATTAATTCTGTGAAAAGCAATCATTGTGATAAGTGTAATAATCAAAATAAATAATTAATACTTAATCAGAAAAAAATAAATATGAAGTTATGCAGTTTACCGCAATCGCTTTTCATGACAGCAGGGCAAAAGTTACTGAAACATGCGGGCACGCGTTCGATAGGAAATCCCATCTACATCGCAACAACGGAAGGCAGTTGCTGTAACGGTAAGTTATTCTGAAATGCAGGCATCCACCTCTGGTTCTGAGAAGCCAGGACAACCCGAGTGAAGATCGCATGGTTCAGGAAAATGTAAGCGACTGTTTGTCTAGAATATCCATATTCATACATTGGGGAGAGGTAGAGGTATATTTAGTATAAATATATGACTGGACAACAGGGACAGCATTGCACAGTTTGTATTGTTTTCAGTAGGAACTGAACACAGCTCGTAAAAATGATGAAAATTGCTTTAGTCCTTTCTTGTGTCGTCTTAGGGGCTTTGGTGAGTAACATTTTGTTTTATAATTGAAAGTTGATTCTAATGAGAAACAAATATCACAATTGATAGACATTATATTATTCTTTTTCTAATTTCATAAACATCCATATAAGGTATGTCATGTCCAAGGATGAAGTTAAAAAGAAGGAAAACTTTTTATTTCTCATTTTATGAAGACAACTCGTTCTTGTTAAAAAATATCTTTTTATGTTGTTTTAAGTAGGCCAGTATATATAGCTTTACAACCTAGGAATGCCCTTTTTCAACTCCTGATATGTACAGGGTGTTCACATATCGTCTTAATTGTAATATTTTTAATTACGTTTCCACTATTTTGCAATCTTGATTAGTTATCCAAGTCAAGGTTTTAGTGGGATAAAGATCAATAAATAAAAGAACACTATATTTTAAATCATTGCCAACGTTTCGGTGTTATTTTACACCATCCTCAGGGCTCTAAAATACAAACAATGTTTTTTAATAAAATTCGTTAAGGTATTAAAATAAAAAACAAATACATTTACAATAATTCTAAAAAATTGTTCCTGTCACAATTACCATAAAACCCGAAAAATAAAAATTCTAAAACAGCTCTAAAAATAACAGGTATTACTCACTCACCGAAATTTGAAATGTCTTTTGTCCAACTTAACAGTTCTAAATATTAAGAAGATCGTATCTAGATACTTATATGTGTACTTATAATTCATGGAACAATTGCAATGTGGTTTTCTTTCACAGTAAAAATTGTTGTATCGTCTTAGGTAATGTTCAGCACAATGACAGTAGAAAAATACGTTGATTCTAATGTGTGTAGATAGCATGCTTCTTTTTTCTCTTACTTTTTCCCCTTTCTTTTTCCCTTTTATTTTTTACTTTTCAATCCAGCACATTTATGAAAAAAAAAGTCTAAACCTGAGTAAATCAAAATACTGTTATAAGAGAATTTTATCAATCAAATTATTATAAACCAAGTTTAAATTATCTATATCCTTCTTAGTATTACCACTATTAATTTTTTTAATATAAATCATTTCCTCGAGTAATCTTTTTGAAAGAATAGGTTGAATTCTTTTGAATGTTCTACAAGTGCAGTTGGATGTTGTTTTTTTAAATCACTTTCATGTTCTGAAATACGTGCATTTATATATCTACCCGTTTGACCAATATAACTTTTTTTACAATTTCCACAGGGTATTTTATAAACCACATTAGATTTTAATTTGAAAGGAGTCTTAGTTTTTAATTTACTATAAAATCTACTGCCAATAGTATTTTCATTCTTAAAAGCTATTTTCTGGTTATTTTCTGAGATCAACACCCTATCTAGCTTTTCTGAAAGTTTAGGTATATAGGGTATTTTATAATATTGTTGTTGACCTACATTATTTTGTCTTTTTAAATTGTAAATTATATTTACCATTTGTTTAAAACTATGACAGGAGTAATAGTTCAAAAATCTTGCAGAAAATGTCGGTTTATGATACCAATTTGTTAATAATTTATTATTTGAAGTTTTTATAATTTTTTGATCTAAAAAAGGTATACTACCATTTTGCTCTATTTCAATAGTAAATTTTAATTATCGGGAATTATTTGATTTCTAATAAAATCCGCGAATTCAAAGGAGTTTCGTACATATTTTTCATCTTTTTCAAAAGCATAGGTCAAAAACTGAGCTATCCATTTTGATATATTATAAATTGGAGATCCAATGAAGCTTACTATAGGTCTCAAAGGTATATTTTCTTTGTGAATTTTTGGTAAAAAAACATTTTTGGAAAAACTCCATTGTTACTTTTTAAATTTTTTGAACATTGAAAACCAATCTTGTTATTTTTATATAGCTTACCAATAATTTTATTAGTTTTATTTTGGATTTTATTGTTGGGTCAGTTTGCAATCTGCTATACGTATTTTGATCATTAAAATATTGCATTTGCTTTAGAAAAATATTTTTAAGCTAAAATTTTGAAAACCGACCCTGTATGATAAAAAAGTAGTTCATTGAATACTTTTATTTTGGAAAAATTAAGTAGACCTTGTTAAAAGCAAAAAATGTTCTCCTTGTAGGTAAAATGGCTTTTTCATATGAAAAATATTGAGAAATGTTATTCGCAATAAAAATTTATTTCCATGCTTACAAGTTTGAAGATAAACGATTTAATAAATAACTAAATTGTAAAATTAAAACCAAATGTGAGACATTAATATAAATTTTAATTCTAAAGAACTTCTGTACTTTTTTTCTCGATCTCTCTCAAAAAAGGACCCTTCACTTATACAGAATGGAGAAATTGAAAAATCGAAATAGGCCTATTGCTTCCAAATTTCAAATGAATTTTAATTCTGAACAAGATATCTTAATAGAATTGTTTGATACATTGTTCGGAAAAGGCAGTTTATCTGCACAGAAAATATTTTTTATTCCTCACAAAGCTTGTTTAATATTTCAGAAACAAAGATACGTTACAGATTTTTTTTTAACCGAGCAAAAACGATATGTGGACATCTTGTACTTATTAAATAATGCAAAAGGATTGCCCATTTATCTGTTTCTACATAGTTTTTATTGTATCCAAGGATAAAATCAACTGGTGTATTTGGGCATTTAAAAAATATGCCATATTTGACTGCTATAAAAAACCATGTCATTGCAAAATCTAAGTTACAACAAATAAAAATTTTGCTCTATGAGAATAATTTTGAATTATGAGTTTATTGGCAAATTCAACATAGATTTTTAATTAATACCTATATTTCGTGTCATTACCAGCATAATTTCCTGCGGATATTTTTAAAAATTATTTATTTGTTCTCGTAGTCTGCCAGCCTCTCTGAAGAAGAGAAAAAGCTCCAAGAGATCCACGACAAGTGCCAAGCCGATCCAGCCACTTATGTCGACCACGAACTGTTGCACCACCTTGCAGACAACATTGACAACCCTAAAGTAGGTGCCCACATGCTTTGCGAATCGAAAGCCGTAGGTCTTCAGAAACCAAATGGCGAACTGGATTTGACTGTCATCAAACAGAAGATAACCCTCACAGTTGATGACAAAGATAAAGTAGAGAGATTGGTCAGGGAATGTGCTGTAAAGAAAGAAACTCCGGAAAAGACCGCCGTCAATCTGTTTATGTGCTTGGACAAGGATGGAGTCACCTATTTCCATGAATTTTAATTTCTTTGTGATACCTATGGTGCATATACTACGCTTATGTATTTAATATTAAGGAAATAAGTAAAAACAGTATTCTACATATTTCTTTTATTTAAAAATACCGTAAGAATTGAACATTTTAAGTAGTATGAACATTTTAAGTAGTATGAACCTTTTAAGTAGTATGAAAATAATAATTAAAAAAAATTTAAACGTTATGATTTTTTGCTTTTTTGGGATAAATGGAATAATAATTACTTAATAGATAAAACCCGCGAAAAAATCTTAAATGACGAAAATGTCATAAAATCATATGCTAGCTTTTATCGCTGTCTCTCATTTTATTCGTCTGCAGAAAAGAGAATTTTCTTGTGTGTAATGTTCAGCTTTATTGGATTATACTAGGTGATCCGATTTTCTGCTTTGTTCCTTTGGACATATTAGATTTAATATCAAAACGTACCTTTTCCATCCAAGTTTCAACTGAAATTGACAAAAAGGGTCCGTTTTCACTATACCGACACAGAGCAGGAACATTTAGGGGAACCCAAAATATGGTGACTTAACGCAACTTATCTTTATACTAAGTTACACCCCTGAGAAGTTACAGGCCTCGAAGGAAGGGTTTCAAATTTCGAAAAAAATCAGTATATGGGGGTGCTCCATAATGTATAAACAAATGTTCCAGTCTGATCCTTGTCAAAATTAATTGATTATTTTCCTGATCATCAAGTTTGACGTTTAAATTTATAACCAACGTTTGAATTTTCGATGATTTTAAATAAAATAGCTACAGTATCTATGTATTATTAGTTATGCATGTTTTTGTTGAAAACGACAAAGCTTTTTGAAAACTAATAAGAACAAGAAAAGTTTTAGAATTAAATTCCCCATGAAATAAAGTATGTAATAATTTTTTACGTTCACCAACGAGTTAAGAAATTCTGGCACATTTTAATGGTGCATCATCCCTTATCCACCCTTTAAAATGCTTCAGTTGAACTCTACTTACTGTTGATTAATGCTCTTGGTAGATTTACACCGTGTTGGTTTTTGTAAGTTCAAGTATAACTGAGATATTAATTTTTTCCAAGCAAATTAAATTTTTACTCGAAAAAAGTCCTATTACTGTAAAATTGTCTAAAGGAATATAATACAAGACATCTCTCGTCTCGTGAGTCAAAAAATTTTATTAGTTAACTTTTCTATTTAAACAAATAAGTGAGGAAAACAGTTTTTTCACTTTGCAGAGAAAACCAATTACCAAAGTAAAAATTCACAAATTATTTTCAAATTATTATTTATTGTTAAAAGATTTCAAAAAGAATAAAAAGCATTTGAATTTATTGCAAAATTCTCAAAATTAAAAAATATTAATAAAAATAATGCAGTCGATAAAATTACAATTTTAACTTCTTGAAATTTTAATATATAAAGTTTTTTAATTATATTTATTACTAATTTATACAAAAAATTTTTTGCAACATAATCAAAATTGATTAAAAAAATATTAATCAAAACCATTTTCAATAATAGATATAATGCAATATAATACAACAATTTAAAATTTAAAATTTTTTCTATTTTTATGAAAAATAACTTTTTAAATGAACGATAGATTCATTTATTTATTTAATAATAGTAAAATAATTCCGAAATTGAAATTTTAATTAATATTTCGTTTAACAATAATTTTTGTGACATTTTTGTAAATTAAAAAAAATTAATTATAAAAGATGCATTTTTTCTGGGGTTCAGGGCTATTCTACGAATTCGTAAATATGCCCATTGTTATTTTTTCGTCGAGCTACCCCAGTTTAAAAAAAAAAAAAGTTTCTACGATGAATAGAAGCCGAGATATTGCAAAATTTACAGCGCGCACTTATTTGAACTTTGCATTTAACTTTTCTCGCCCGCGGGATCGCTTGGACGAGCTTCCCCCACCACTACGCCGCCGGCCGCCGGACAGTTTACTTAGCGAGTCGTGAGTCGTTAATTTTCCACATTTTTCAATGCAATTCACGGGAAATCGTAGTTTACGTCGTAAACTTTATTTTGCGAAAAATTCAAGTCTTAATATTTATAAACAATTGCGCTACGATTTTTTAAAAAAAGATTCTTATCTTGGCTCCTGTTGGTCGTAGAGGGCACTTTTTTTATTTTAAAACTGTATTTTTTTGCCAGCTATCCATTGCATCTATTTTCGGTGAGATAGCATAAATAGCAACAATGTTATTCAAATTGTTTATAAGCGAAAAACGCACGGTTTTTTAATGCACAATTTGAGAATGTTAATGTCAAAAAAACGGTGATATTTTTTAATAGGTCGCTTAATTGCGTCTTTAAGATTACAATGACGCTTTCAGAATCATGTTTGATTGAAAATTAACGTCTGTACAGAGGCTTAAAGTTCATAACTTTTGGAGCCTCCGCTATAAACAAATAGAATTGTGCGAAAACTATTGCACCTACAGCGCCCACTTTTGGCACACTTTTAAAGTATGACAAAACCCTCAACTTGTCATAGGTTTTATAAAATTTTAACAATAAATGCGATAGTTATAAACAAATTAAAAAATGGGCACTTTTCTTGTTTTTTTGCAATAACTTTTTTGTTTATTAACCGATTTTAATTTAACCAGTCTCATTTTGTAGATAATTTTACTCCCTATAAGCTGTCTGAGAGTCACTTTTCGCTAAAATTGATGGTTTTCCCTGCAAAGTGAAAAAACTGTTTTCCTCACTTATTTGTTTAAATAGAAAAGTTAGCTAATAAAAGTTTTTGACTCACGAGATGAGAGATGTCTTGTATTAAGTTCCTTTAGACAATTTTACAATAATCTCGCGGATAGGACTTTTTTCGAGTTTCTCTTTTATTTTCGCTAATTTTCCTGGTGTTGCGTTAAATCACCATATTTTGAGTTCCCCTACAAGCCCCTCTTCTGTGTCGGTTATGCGGAACTACTATTTAAGGTAGTTGTGTTTCAACAAAATGTTTTACATAAATACGTACCTGCAAAATAAGACTAATTCACATCTCTTTAGGCGTGTACTTGGTATTTGTTTAACGTAATTTTTTTTGTCAAAATTAATATGAAGTTGTGGAAAAATGAGTCAAAAGACTACTTACAATTATGGTTAGAGTAGAGGTTTGTAATTCAAACAAATAACGATGTTTTAATTTTTCAAAATTAAGGGATATTCAGTGTGGTAGCCATTCCTCCACAATACACAACATATTCCGATTAATTTATGTACAATGTTAATGTAATATAATAATTTTGAAAGAAATGTTAAATAATTTAAAAGTTTATTTAACTGTTTTTCTCCAAACCAAACAATTAAAGTTTTAGGGTAGCAATTAATCCACGAAACGTACGTATTCTATGTTTGATTATGTTGTACTATAAACTAATTTTAACATAGCTCAGAATGTTCAGAATTGCTCAGGTTAGAATGGAATAGCATCCCTAGCAAGATCTTTATACTTTTTGATATTAAAATTTAAACAGCGATAACTAAAAATAATTTTGTGCAAATATGACCCCTATAAGGTTGTAAAAAGTGTATCGTCTTGTAATTAGTTATTATTATCAAGTTAATAGTCACATGAAAATTTGTGAAAATTAAAATAAAAACAATACATTGCACACTCTTGAAAGCCTTACCAATTTTCGCAAGCTGATATTACATACCTGTATATTTTGTTTTCATCGTTAATAATTATTTTTTGCCCGTCATAGTTCGCTGATATACGGGGTGTCCCGAAATTCATGCAACAAAATTTGGTCACAGATTCTTAAGATAAATTTAGGGGACCCGTATTTTTTATTTTTGCCAAGTGGCCCTCTCTTTCGGAGTTACAGCCCCCCTGAAGTCCGCCCCTAAGAATAGTATTTTTTTTATATCTCAGAATCCTGTTGTACGAGAATCCCTAAATTTGGTACACAGGGGTTTTATGACATGTGGAATTTGATGGTGTTACGTTTTTTAGCGGGGAACCCCCTTAGGACAATTTTTCGTGAGCCCCCTTGTCTTTGGACCCAAAAATATTTGGTCGCATATTTAAATTTCTTAAAAATTATCAGTCCACTAGAAAGCCATTAAATTTAGAAACTTTTTGCCTCTTTATACTTTTTTCGTTAAACGCAATGTTTTCGAGAAAAATGTCAAAAAGTGATCGAATGCATATCATGATTCGCCATTTTCCTCAAAAATATTGCGTTTTACGAAACAAATATCAAGAGACAAAAAAGTTTCTAAATTCAATGGCATTCTAGTGAATTAATAATTAAAAAAAAAATCAAATTTGCGACCAAATTTTTCTGGTTCCAAAGACAAGGGGGGGCACGAAAAAGTGTCTTAAGGGGGTTTCTCCCAAAAAGCGTAGCACTGTGAGATTATACATGTCATAAAACCCCTGTGTACCAAATTTAGTGATTCTCGTACAACATGGTATTGAGATATAAAAAAGACTTCTTAGGGGCAGATTTCAGGGGTCTCTGTAACTCCGAAAGAGGGGGCCAGTTGGCAAAAAGAAAAAATACGGGACCCCTAAATTTGTCTTAAGAATCTATGAACAAATTTTGTTGCATGAATTTCGAGACACCCTATATAAAAGTACAGAATTTGTGGAAAAATTAAGATAAATAATATTAAGCTAACATTTCTACGAACTTAATTTTAATTGACTTAATTTAAAATAATATATTTTTTATAGTCTGGTATTTTAGAATATTACAGCAAGTATTATTTTTATACAATAACATTTAAAGCAATATTCAAAAAATTTATGAAGTGTGTCGAGAAAAGAAAAAATGTCTTATTTTTATTTTATTTTAAGAAGCTAAGAAAATCAATTCAAAAAAATGTTTCCTAAAAATCGTATTAAATAAGTCAAGTTACGAAAAAAAAAGTATGTAAAAGATATCTAACCTCATATACAAGATTCTTAACTGATGATATTGATGATACTGATGATATTGCGTCTCAACTAACACTGAATTACATCAGCAGGATCTAATAAATAGCTATTAATTATTATTAATTGTCTATTAATATTTATTTACAAGGAGGCAACTTGAAAAAGCTATGGCAATTTATGCATGTATCATATTTATTTTATCTAATTATTTTTTAGTTGATTTTTGGTATCCAAAAAACATTTACTACAACCGACAGTATTTTTAGGAACACGTTTTTTTAATTTATTTGAATACCAAAAACTTATAAATACTGAAATATTGTCATGAAGCACAAGTGTACCAAAAGTTGCGAAGGCTAGAAGTTGTGCCAAACTTTTACCTATATAACATTATTTATAAATATGAAAATTCGATCTACTCGAGATAATTATAATAATGTGAAAGGATTACACCTACAACTTGTAGATTTTGTCACATTTTCAAACAACAAATTTTGAGTCTTAATGTCATGCAATACAAAACCGTTTTGTATATCTATTCAGAATTTCAAAAGTAACTGGTAGTTGAAGTCGAATGAAAATTAATGTCGTTTATCTCGTAAACATGCAATATCTCTTCACATATAGATTTTTCTCTCTGAAAGATCTTCCTTCACTGACTTTATAATTTTGTAAAATTAAACTCAAAATAGTATGAGTACTTAGAAGTCCATATCAAGCAGTAGTCATTTCATTTTATCTTATAAATACCAATTTAGAAAGCTCCAATTATATTTCAGAAAATATAATTTATGTTTCAGAAAGCACTGAAAGCATTTCAGGTAGTTTATTAATTACCTATTATTGTCAATTGTATTTTTTGTTTTGTCTATCTTTTAACTGGAATCATCTCTTAGAGAGTGTACAAATGAAATACCTAAATAAAGAAACTATATTATATACATGAAGACTTAGTAATGAAATAACGAAATTAATTTTGATGATCTTTAGTGCAATGTTTAACGTCCAGTTTGGCTTAAATTAGTTCTGAAACATTTTTGAAGAAACGTGAAAATATATTTGATAATTTCTGAATTAAAAGTGACATTCTGATACCTAAATAACGTAATTGGACAAGTATTAACTTTTTCTGAACTAAAACTGACTATTTCTGACATAATAAGAACTAATGATTTTTTATCCCTGGAATGTCGAAAAGCAGTCCACCTGAGATCGTTAAATTTTGAGTAATTTTTGTAATATAAAGTTTCCCTATATTTACTTGTTTTCGAGATAATATGTCGACTTCAATATGCAATGCATAACAGGAAAATCTATTATTTTATCTAAATAACACCGAGACAAAATATTTTTTAAAAATATTGTTATAATGACCTTATTCACCCACATACTAACTAACAAACAATAACGTGGAAATACAGTCCATCTGAAAGATCGTTGAATTTTGAGTAATTTTCATAATATAAAGTTTTTTCCTATATTTACTTGTTTTCGAGATATGTCGACTTGAATATGCAATGTATGATATAACAGGAAAATCTATTACCTATTTTATTTAAATCACTCTTGAGACAAAATATTCTTTTAAAATATTGTTATAATGACTTTATTCGCACCACATACTAACAAACAATAAATTATAAAAAAAACAAATGATCAACTACGGAAAAAAAATTGTACAATGGTAAATCGTATACTCAAACTGATAAAACTATAATTATTGGAAAACTAATGTGTCATCTGTCATTGTTTTATTTCAAACAAATGACATGAGCCACCTATGACTGCATTTTTTAATAACATTTGATAAAATGCGGTTCGTCTCTGCCCTTATAAGATTTACCATTGTACAATTTTTTTTCTGTAGTTGATCATTTGTTTTTTTTATAATTTATTGTTTGTTAGTATGTGGTGTGAATAAAGCCATTATAACAATATTTTAAAAGAATATTTTGTCTCGGCGTGATTTAAATAAAATAGGTACCTAATAGATTTTCCTGTTATATCATACATTGCATATTCGACATATCTCGAAAACAAGTAAATATAGGAAAAAACTTTATATTACAAAAATTACTCAAAATTCAACGATCTTTCAGAAGGACTATGCAGTCCTTCCACGTTCTAGGGAACAAAAAAATTTTTAGTATCGCCGCACCATCTATACAGAAAGATTTGAACTAACAATTCTAACTACAATTTGAAGCTATTCGAGGGACCTAATAACCCCAATTTCCGAAACTAAACTAAATTTGTTAATTTCTGGAGATATTGGCAGCGGGAGAGTTAAATGGCGCACCCTGTATAGTAGTTTGACTTATTTCTCGATTGTTGAATATACTGACAACACAGTGTCGCAAATCTAACTTCGAACCCAAAAGTAGGGATCTTACAAGTTTTTGGGGTGGCTGATCATGACTCTAAGATTCAAAATACTCTATCATGTCAAATTTTGCAATAAATTTTAAAAAATGTCTAAAGATTCGATATATGGCCGATATTTTACGTATTATATCAATCTGGAAACACGCAAAAGAGGCTAATACGCTCAATCCCGAACTCATAAACTCGAAGCCCAAAAATCCTATGCCTATAAACCTATAAGCCCATAAACCCTTAATCCATAAACTCCAATCCCATAAACCTACAAGCATGTAAACCCTTAACTCAAAAACTTACAAGCTTATAAACCCTCAAACCTCAAACACATATGTATTTACGGCGTACATACAAGTATTTTGGATTTAAAAAATGATATTGGGATTTAAAGAGTAAGTATAGTACTTTAAGACCCCATTAATGGTTTCAGCAAAAATATTTACCTTTCCATGTAACATAACCTCAAATATGTCAAAAAATCTCGATTTTGGCACTTTAAGGATATCTGGATATCTCAAAAAGTAGAGCCAATTGAGACATTTGGACCTCAGGTTCGAATTCAGTACACCAAAATCCTTTGGAAGGTATATTCGTGTTGGTTAAAATCTTGTCGGCCTGTGTAATTTGAATGAATTAATCATCCTTTTTGGAAAATTTAGGTACTACAAAATAATCAAATTTAAAACTTTTTTTGTCACAAGAATTTTAACCAATCGGTTTTAAGTACGCATATATTTGTGTTTGCATACTTAATGTTTATTTTTTAAAGTTGACCTAGCATTTTGCCTGAAAATAAAATAAATATAAGAAAATTTTAAGACTGCTGACACTAGGCAATGAATTTAATTAATTTGGTCAGAAATTAAGCAAATTCTGAAAATGGTAGTCAAAAAAGTTCCTAAATAAAAAACAACAAAATTAATATTGTATGTTATCTAACCGTTTCATAACCAGAAAAAAAGCAAATAATTATTTTATTAAAGTGGGTGTCTGAACTCAATTTGTTTTCTTTTTCATTTTAATGATTCTTGAGAAAAAAAAATTAAACCTCATTTTATCGCTGATAATAATCAAAGATCATTTTATTCCTGAGTTTGAACAACTTGTAACTTTATAGGGAGAGATTCACTCGAAAAATTTAATATGAAGAACCCCACTTAAAGTCCACTCAGGTATTCATTATTTCTGCCTTTTTCTGTATCTATTTTTGAGGCACTGTGTACATGGCACAATTATAATCGACAGCCATTAAACTACTAACCGATAGATGATGTAAACAATAAACTCGTATGTATTTTATATCTCTCGTATATTAATTAATTATCAAATGTAAATTTAGAGATTACCAGTATAATACAGTCTGCAATTTTTATTTAATTTGGCACATAGTTTTTGTTTATACCTCCTTCAAAAATCTTAACGGCAAACAAGAGGGTCCTTGTTGTAGACCTAAAGATATCCATATCGTCATACACCAATGCTTTCTACGTTTTTTCACAAAGCATAAACAGAAACAAAAGACAATTGCAGGCCGCAACGAGTACACCGATTGTTCGACACGAAGTAAACATATTGTTTTCTCTTTAGAACAACGCAACGTGGTAAATTAATAATGTCACATCAACACAAAGCTCAAAGTGAAGGAATCCCAGAGGTGGACACGTTTCGTAACACAAGGTAGAACAGAGTAATTGTCGGTAATAGCTTAATCATTCTGCGTACCGCAAGATAGGCCGGGTGCAAAATTCTTATGAAGCTCATTATGCATGTGGATAACGCGAAAAGCCCCACGAGTCAAACTGAATGGGTATATAAATGTCGGACTTCAGCAAGCTAAGCATTCAGTTTTTACTTCAGCCTCTGCAATAAAGACTAATACCATAAACAAAATGAAAACTGCATTCATCTTCGTGTGTGTCATCGCTGTTGCTTTGGTGAGTAATTATTGCTAATATTTTTAAATACCATGCATTTTTATGCATGGTATTTATAATTTATTTTATAATAACTGATAGATTACAAAAAAATATAGGAATCTTTTGAAAAATATTGCTTTAAGAACTTCTAAGAAATAATGTTAAAATTAAATTAACGAAGAGTGTGCTACCTGGCACATTTCATTGTTTATGTTTAAAACTAACTTCTGTATTCGAAAGTTGAGTACAAAGAACAATGGGATCAAAATTCATTTTTATTTGTACCAGATAGGGGCGGGAAAATTTAATTTCCTTCACACTAATTGAACTAAATGAGATACAATTTTTTAAATTTATTGTTTACTGAAACAAATGTAATCGAAGTAAATATCTCAATAAAGTTAAAGTACCTATAAACACTTAGTTAAAGGAGATCAAGAGAACAGAGAGAAAAATATTTCATATTCTGCAAAGTCTTATTCATTCTGGTAAAAACGCAATACCTTATTGCAAAAAAGAAAATTAATTTTAAGATAATTTAATTTAAGAAAATGAAATAATTTTATTTCATTTATTAAAACCTAAAGTACCTAAGGAAATTGTACATAATGTGGCTTAAACCAATAATAAATTAAATTAATAATAAAATAAGTACAATTCTTCTTCTTCTTCTTCTGTATTTCTCAATTTGTTATAAAAAATAATCAAACACAACGGAATTAGTCAATTTTATCTTTATAAAGTTAACATATCTTTCATTTTCCGATAAGGATTCTTTCGCAGTTATAAAATTTAAATTTTAAAGATCTCTACTTAAGGGGTTGTTTTAAATTAGACAAAATAAAATGTCTGTTTTGATCTCGCTGCAACTCTTTGTATAAGAATACGCCCAGCTTAAGTTCAGTCTAAAAGAAACCCACTATTTTTTGTAACAGAGCGCCAGCCTCTCCGAAGAAGAGAAAAAACTCCAAGAGATTCATGACAAATGCCAAGCCGACCCAGCCACTTATGTAGATCACGAACTTTTGCACCACCTTGCAGACAACATTGACAACCCTAAAGTTGGTTCCCATATGCTCTGCGAATCGAAAGCTGTAGGTCTTCAGAAGCCAAATGGTGAATTGGATTTGAGTGTCATCAAACAGAAGATCTCCCTCACCGTCAGCGATAAGGCTAAAGTCGAAAGATTGGTTAAGGAATGTGCTGTGAAGAAGGAAACTCCTGAAAAAACTGCTGTCAATCTATTCATGTGCTTGGACAAGGATGGAGTCACCTATTTCCACGAGTTCTAATTCTTTATTTTTTCTGTATATAAAAATCTGTGTAAATAAAATGGCTATAAACATAGACTACAATATAGTTTAACTTTACAGCAAAAAAAATACTGCAGCATCTGCATATGTTTAAAACCATCAGTATCGAAATTTTTTAGAGAAAGACAATTTTCTATTTGAAGATGTGAAAATGAAGATATAGGTACATACAAATTTAAAAAAAATGGTTAGTGGTGGTAACTAAAAGACGAAATGTCACACTGAAAATCTAATACCACACGGGAGCATAAAGGAATTAAAATGACGTTCGAACATGTTTTCAATTCTGCTGTAATTAACTCTTCAAATGAATCGAAAAAATTATACTTAGATACATGTTAATATTCCAAAAGCTTCATAAATGTTTACAAGCCACGTCATCGTCGAGCATAGGCAACCAACAATTCCCGGTAGGTAATATTAAATGAAAATCCCCAAACCTCAGTGGAGTGGTTGAAGGGGTTACGTGTAATTAAATAAAATTGTTTTTAAAATTGATTGACATAAACTATCGATATTAAACTAAATACATATAATTTAGTGTCAGATACTTTCGAAACATACTTTTGTTTTTTCGTTGTAATACTTTATTAAAACGAAAAAAACTATCAAACTTTACTAGTTAATGAACAAATTGCAAACTTTTACTATGAATCTATCACAGATTATAATTTTTTATTTAAGTATAGAGTAAAATAAATAGACAATTTACTCTTAGATAAAATAGTATTACGAAAAACTTTGATTCATTCGTTGCTACATATTTTCTGTAAGTACAGTTGGTCTGGCCGTAGATTTTCCTTTGCAAATGCAGTGTTTGGTTTCAGATCTTTTGAAAATAGCACATTTCCAGTTTAAGAAATGGATGGAAATGGTCATGGTTAACGTTTCTTCATTTCGCGGTCCAATTCGAAAATAAGGCATCCTATTCTGGGGTAAATGTCATAATACGTTCTGAAATAAAGAAATTATTAACCTCAAAATTTTGTTTCTGTTAGCAGTTACCAATAATCCAATGAAGTGTCAAAAAAGTTTAGCTGTCAAATATGTACTACTTAAATGTATACAACAAATAGGAAACAATAAAACGATGGCAGAAAATGATTTAAACACTAACAGACACGGATGATGGATAGATAGGTACTACTAAAAATGCACAAATGTTAATTTAGCGTCATAGCTCATAATGATTCAGTTACAATAAACAGTAATAAACCATTGCGTCTACACTCGAAATAATCTGATGGCTGATTGGTTGAATAAAATGTCGTGAAAAATTATACCAATCATTAGCCGGTAAAACGAAACGTTGCGTTTTAACGTTGTCTTGATCTTATTGTTTTAGCAATTTTTAATTTTACCAGAATTTAGTTGCCAACATGAAGGAAACAAAATTACTGTTTCAAACAAAATTACGTGGCTTGTAATCATTTATGAAGCCTGTGTATTTCTACGAACAAAAGGATCTCGACCAATGAATTTCATATTTCATTAGGACATACTTTATCATCAAGATTTTATTTCCAAAGTCAACTTCCTCCAGTGACAATTACCTTTTATATTTTCTTTAAAATAATAAACTATTCGGTTTTGCAATTGGTTAAAATGTTTTGAAATAATTTAAAAATTGTATGTTTTTAGTTACGAATTTCTTATACTTAAAAGTCAATGACCAACACTAAGTATTAGACCTCAGTTCTCTAGAAGAGTTATCCACAGCCTCCTAGGAGGCTGTGAGTTATCAAAAGACTAGGTTCAGTTAAATTCGTTTTTTTAATATTAATGTTTTATATTATATTTATTTTAATAATATAATTTGATATAGTATACTCTATAAGCGAAACCTGACTGAAATTTTAAGGTTATGAGTATAAAAAATAATGCAAATACATAATTAATGTGAAGGGGTACATATTGAAACGGCAGAATTTTAACTTTGGAAATACTCAAATAGAATTATATTATTTATTATACACTCTACCACTTGCAAATTAGGTAATTTATAGCTCTTCCTCTATGTGTTTCGTGTCTTACATGATAATGTAGTTGTCGTGAATATTTTCTTCAAAGAGTGTTTTATTTTATTATTTATTAAAATGCATAAGGTAAAGGAAATGAATGATTTAGGTTTTTATATATTTGGAGAATGCAATGTAAATTTAATCAAATACATTACTAAATACAGTTCTGCTATACCTACCTATAATGTAAATCAAAAAGACTGTTTTCTACTTTTTCGTCGAGCTGTGTAAAGCCACAGTAAAGCTATGGTTTGTTAGAGCTGTATGCTACGCAAAGCAGACAGTCAGTTGTGCGCGTCGGACTTATGCTGAAATCTAGAACACAAGAAGATGCGCATCCAGTTTGTTAGATTCTGCTCAGGTAGACCCACGGTAAGCTTTGGTTTGTTAGAACTGTGCGTCGCAGACGACATACGCGGTTAGCAGAATCTGTAGCTTTCAATTTTATCGGTTTTGAAGGAGGGTGTTTTGTTAGATTTAGTGCTTGTGATTGTATGCTGATAAGTGCAGACGAAAATATTTATTATTATTTTGGCAAAAAATTTTTTTCATGACAATGGTTGAATATTTTTTGCTGTCAATACTTATAGAAAACACCATGAAAAAGATCTTTTAAATTTACTTAGTTGTCGTCGTCAAATTAAAAGTGAAGATCGAATATTTTCTAACAGACGTTTGGAAGGGACGGTATACAATGGGGGATGTTCTCGTACGAGATCGATTAATTTCTCGTCTTCCTCTGGTGAAAACTTGGTTGCCATTTTAAAATTCTTTAAAAATAAATGCTTTTTTAGCACTGTACGCCGTGCGCTCAACTGAACGACTGCGTTGAAATCAAATCCAATTTGATTTCGACTGAACCGACGACGGACATAATTTTCTGCCTACCGTCAGTCCACCTGAGCAGACTCTAACAAACCAGCTACGTATCTTCTTGTGTTCTAGATTTCAACGTAAGTCCGACGCGCACAACTGACTGTCTGCTTTGCGTCGCCTACATCTCTAACAAACCATAGCTTTAGGCAGAAAATTTTGTGCGTCGTCAGTTCAGTCGAAATTAAATTTGATTTGATTTCGACGCAGTCGTTCAGTTGAGTTCACAGCGTACAGTTTAAAAAATTTTAACAATTTTAAAATGGCTACCAAGTTTTCACCAGAAGAAGACGAGAAATTAATCGATCTCTTACGAGAACATCCCCCATTGTATACCGTCCCTTCCAAACGTCTGTTAGAAAACATTAGATCTTCACTTTTATTTTGACGACGATAACTAATTAAATTTAAAAGATCTTTTTCGTGTTCTTTCTCAATAAGTATTGTCAGCAAAAATGTTCAGCCATTGTTATGAAAAAAATTTTTTGTCAAAATAATAATAAATATTTTCGTTTGCATTTACCAGCAGACGATCACAAGCACTAAATCTAACAAATCACCCCCCCTTCAAAACCGATAAAGTTGAACGCTACAGATTCTGGTAACAGCGTATGTCGTCTACGACGCACGGTTCTAACAAACCAATGCTTAATTACGGCAATACAACTTTAAAAAAATGAAGTAAAAACTTAAATGGTTCCCTATAGACACTTTTTCATTTTATACAGTGTTTCTAAAAAGCGCACAATAAATCTTTCAATTAGACTATTCTGCTTCTTTTTTTCATATGAACCACACGTCCAACGTCTTTTGTTTTCAAAATACAAAAAATTTAATTTGATATAGGTGATTTATTTTGGTAACATGGTAAACGGCTGTACTGGTCCATTTTCAATGGGATTTCAGGATATCTCAGAAACTACTAAAGATATGATAAATCTGACACCACGTTCTCGAGCTCGATTTTCATCATAAATCATAGCTGGTCATGGTCACCTAAAAAAATGGAGATTTTTTTTGCTTTTCAGCAATATATCACATGCTATAGTTATTTTTCCAAACACAGAAGATACGGGAAGTTTTATATATAAATTCGATCCTTTTTTACATTTTAATATGGCTGGCTATGAAAATACATACAAAATTATAATCCTTAATTTTACAAAACTCATATCTGTTGTAAAAATATGACGTTTATTTAAAATATATATTACAGATAAGGAAAGACAGTTTTCAAATTTTTATTCCACTTCAACTGAAGTGAATAAAAACTTTCAAAAATGTTCAAATTGCCGTCTCTGAACTGTCACACATTTCACGCATCTTCTGGCAACGCTTCGGGTAGGTAGCATTGATTAAATGTATATTTGAAATATTATTAAAAGGAATTTTGAATATAATGTCTTTTAGAAAACCCCAAAGGAAGAAGTCCAACGGACTCAAATCAGGTAACCTAGCTGGCCATCTGATCGGTCCGTTTGTTCCTATCCACGTATCTCCTAAAATTTCGTTAGTATTATATTATCACACGAGTATATGTTGTGCATTTAAAATAAATGTCATATTTTTACAACAGATATGACTTTTGTAAAAGTAAGAATTATAGTTTTATCCGTATTTTCATAGCTGGTCATATTAAAAAGGAAAAAATATATAATTTATATATAAAACACCCCGTATCTCCCGTGTTTGTAAAAATAACTATAGCATGTGATATATTGCTAAAAAGCGAAAAAAAATCTCTATTTTTTTAGGCCATGGTCACCTACGATTTCCATTTAAAAAAATATAACTGGGTCATAACTCCGAAATCTTAAGATCCACTAAAAATCTAATACCGGCATTCAATTCTACGCTAAAGAATTAGTCTTGAGCAGTTTTCACATTAACTCTAACTTATTTAACAGCTGAGATACAGACATGTTAAACAATGAGACAGTAGCGAGAAACGCCCTGTAGCTCAGAAACAAATGAAGATAGCAAATTTCCGATCTGACAGTCGAGTTTGCCATGAAAATCGAGCTCGAGAACGTCGTGTCAGATTTATCATATCTTTAGTAGTTTCTGAAATACCCTGAATTCCCATCGAAAATGGACCAGACTACAGCGTATTTATAACAAACTATTTAGGGTAGATTAAATCGTACGCCTGCCATTAAGATACATTACATATTTACTCTTAGTCATATTGACAAAATTCGTTTTATTGAATTAACTTTAATGCCCTGTAACTTGAAAACAAAAGCCAGTCGATGAGCAAGTGTTCTTAATTTTCAACACTTTTATATGTACTTATGTTATATAAAACTATTTCAACTCGTGGGATTTATCAGATGATCAACATGCATAATGAGTTTGGGATTTGTGAATTAAACAACTTTTTATGACGCGAAACGTGTGGACCCCTCTGGGGATTCCTTTACTTTGAGGTTGATGTGCTAATTTTTTATATTTATAATTCGTGCACATTCTGTAGAGGAAAAATATAGCTACAATTCCCGCACAAAATTATAGAGTAAGTAAGATGCAACAATGAAATATCGAAACGTTTTAAAATATTTTTATCACATCTGTTGTGATCTTTCGTTAGAAAGGGATGCGCTATAATGGCTTAAACTATTTTTTTTTGTTGTGATTGATGCACGAAAATAACTATCTCGTAATGGAATATTGATGTTACGAATCGATAAATCTACTATCTTCAAAATAAAATACACTAGAAGTTCCCTAATGTAAGTAATTTATTTGAACAAAATTTGTTTGCTCCAATTTTATATTGATAGGCATATGTATGAATAATAAAACTTTTTTGGTAAAGTAACACATTACTTTAATGACTAAAAATAGACCGCAATGCGCAGAAAGACAAACCCTGAACTAGAACTGTATATTGTCGCTGGGCGTGAAAAACCTCCTATGTGGCGTTTGACCGGTTTTTAGTTTGCAGTTGCAGTTGGTTGGTTTTCATTCCTTTTATAATTTAATAAATCCTCCTATTTACTAATTATAATTATTCTTGCATAAAACCATGTTTTTGTCAACCTCCTTTGTGCAAAAGAATTAAATTCGTCTCCGAATAGCTCCTATGTAAATATATTCTACATAGAAGAAATTTAGCTCCACAACCCCATGTCTATTTCAACTTGATATCTTCACATAGGAGATTTAAACCACATATGATGTTTTTTCATTGATTAATATGATGATGTACCAAATTCGATTTATTATTTAAATCAAAATACTAAAAGTGTTAGGAAAATGCTCCTATGTGTTTACACAATTTTTAAGAATTACCCTTATGTGCTAATTTGGGACGATTAAAATCTCTCATGTAATAAAATCTCACTTTTTTGCCAGTTCTTTACAGTTTAAAACCAAAAACAATAGGAAAATTATTTTTTTCTCCTTCCTATTAAAAATGGTATTTTACAAATAGAAGGATCAACGACGGTATTTCATTTTGATACCAAGCCAGCCGCACATTGAAAACTGTGTATTGCTCTGACATGTCCCACATGCTAGCACATTGTCTTGATATTAAGGCTCATTTACATTTGTCACGTTTGATGATCATCTTGGAGGAATCATAGAATCATACAAAGCGATAAGTGCAAAAATTGCCTTTCATTTTGGTTTCATCCAAAGTGTACACTAAAGATGATCCCCGACCAACTTTTGATGAGAGTCGTGCCCCAAACCGATTATTATTCATCCAGAGTGAAGGCCCAGTGTAAACTGCCACTGTTCATTTCACAACCGCCACGCCAGTCGAATCTTTATCATAGTTCTTTTGTGTTTGCTTTGGTTGTTTTAATTTAAATTTGTTTGACGAAGCTCCCAGAGTTTCTCTCCTTGAAATTCATGGTTTTACCCACCAACGTCTTTCAGCACGTTCAATTGTCGATATAATTGAATTCAGTTCATGTATTAGTCCACGTGAAATTAAGTCAATGCGTCCGCGGATAATTTTTGCATTCCTGCTTTAGCTTAAGCCGAATTTACACGATGCAATTTGGATTTACATAAAGGATGATCCATGTAGGGTGAAACCGATAGTGAAGAGGCAGAACTGTTTATCTTGAACGAAATGAAAATGAAATGTTATTAAACGTTATTTACATCGTTTCATCTTTGATGAATCATCCTCGATGCACATCAAAATTACATCGTGTAAATTCGCCTTTATTCGTGCATTCCTACGATGGGCCGTTCACCAAGAACAAAGTAGTGCAAAATCTAGAAATGTACATTACTAATTTTTTATTCGTAAAATCAAGTTATCCATTTTTATCCGTGTTTGTGGAACATACAGTGTGATTCATTAAGAACAAGACCATGTAAAACTTTTTTCTTAAATTCGAATACATTCTTTATACAGGGTGGTCTCGAGGTAATGGGCCAAAATTCATGGGTAGATTCCCCAAGTAAAAATATTGCGATTTAGCCGAACTTACCTTAGTCCAAAAGTTGATAGTTAAAGAAATACAGGGTGTTAAATGTAAAATATTATTTCAGTTTTTTTTAATTTATTCCTTAACAAAGGCAAATATCCTCACAAAATTTTGGGGATTGGAGTTCTTTGAGTAAAGGAATTGAAATCTGTTCACATTTTGGTTAAAGTTCATAGAGGGCGCTAGCTGCAGTAGATTGAATGTGTTAAAAACGACATAATTTTTTTTTACTTTAAGGTATCTCATCTTTGGTATCAAATTCTTATTTTCCAACTTTTTTACACGAAAAAGGTAGACTTTAAGTAAGTAGCTATCTCGCACCGTTTTCTCAGATATTTGGCTTTGAAACTTCCAATGCTGTTGCATTAAATAATTACAATTAAGTACCTACAGGTATTATTAATTTAGCGATAAAGTTTCTTAAGTAGGATTTGGACGAAAATCAAATAATTGACGTCTTCCACTTGTCTTATTGCTGTCATTTGTATGCTAATTTCTATTAAGTAATATTCGTATCTAATTAAAATTACATCTTAGCTTACAAATTAAATTGTATACTCGTATACATAAATCTGAGATAGAATGCCGAGGTTTTCGTTTTTGGAGTTACATGAAATCAGTTGGAAATAGCAGGTTTTAAATGCTGCAAAGTCATTTCGCATTAAGGATTTATATTTTAAAATAAGACAATCTTTTAATAAACGTGTTGATAAATGTATTGAAGTTAGAGGTGGACATTTTGAGCAATTATTGTCAAAAAGGCATATTTTTTTACTAATGTTTACTATTTTACTGTGCATTACAATTGTTAATTCTAAATAAACCCTTGTTTTTGACATTTCTAAATTATTTTAATTATTTCAACTATTAGCGTTGGAAGTTTCAAAGCCAAATATCTCGGAAACGGTGCGAGACAGCTACTTTCATAAAGTCTACCTTTTTTGTGTAAAAAAAGTTGGAAAATAAGAATTTGATACCAAAGATGAGATACCTTAAAGTACAAAAAAGTTATGTCGTTTCCAACACCTTCAATCTACGGCAGCTGGCGCCCTCTATGAACTATAACCAAAATGTGAACAAATTTCAATTCCTCTATCCAAAGAACCCCAAACCCCAAAATTTTGTGTAGATATTTGCATTTATTAAGAAATAAATGGAAATAAACTAAAATAATATTTTACATTTAACACCCTGTATCTCTTTAACTATCAACTTTTGGACTAAGGTAAGTTCGGCTAAATCGCAATATTTTTGCTTCGGGAATCTACTCATGAATTTTGGCCCATTACCTCGGGACCACCCTGTATACATAATAGCTTCAGACTACTTGTTCAACCAATTGCCATGATACAGTTGGTATTTAATGGGCTGCTATGATTTTTTTGGAAAAGATTTTTTGAAAATTTTCATAAGGATTTATTTCATTAAAAATCTGGTTATGCAGTCTTAATCATCATCATTTTTGGTTCTTAATGAACCATAATGCAGTTATGAAGGTACAAAAATTAAAAGTATAGGAAAAAAATGAAATATGCAATATTGGTATTCAACTGGTTCAAAATATTCAATTTGGCAAGTGGTCCAAAATTCTATTGGCATTGGTATATAACAATATACACAACGGTAGGTAACAAGGAACAAAACATTTTCATTTTATACTCAACAGACGTTTGATAATTGGGTTACTTAAATACAATAAATCAAATATGAAACTCTGAAGAGGTTATTTATATTTAAAAAACATGATTTTTTTATTAGCTATTGTATTTTTTTACTCCATGTTAGGTATTAAGATAATTCAAACAAAGTCAAAAAATTTTATTAGGTTAAATCAAAAAATGTTTTTCGATACCAGCAATTTACCAATTAGTAATAAATAATTTTTCAAAATAAAAACTAAAAATGGTAAAGAAATATCCTGTATTCTTGTTGTTCTATTGTTACCCTTGACAAAGACTAATCACGTAAAAAAACAATTACTATAAAGAGATATAGTCATGTTCAAAGTTTCCAAAATGTAATAATATAATTTTTTCTAAAAGTTTCATGTTTATACATAACATTGTTTTCCTGTTAATATTTATAATTCCTTCCGAGAAGGCACGCACAGGACAGAGAGAATACACAATATTCCTTGAATAATTTATTATTCCAAAAATTCAATATATGAGGTATGTGTTTCTTTTCTTTAATTATATCTAGTCATATCATTTTTAGTTTTTATTTTAGATAATTACTTATTACTAGCTGATTACTAGATATGAAAGGGGTATTCAAAGATAGTTGGGGCATGTACCCCATAGAGTAGTTGTTTCCCACAATATCAGCAGTTAGGAGTCTTGTCTGTGAGGTTAGATATTTTTTGCACACTTCTAGAGATTTCTAATATCGAAGAACATTGTTTGACTTCTTCGATAAGGTTTAAAAAAAATGTGTCGAGTTTGTTTGACAAAAATAGTTACAGTGCAAAAAATTGAAAGGTTTGTAAGTTGTTAATCTATACATAATAAAAACAAAAATGCAGGAATTTGTAACATAGAAAAAAGATTTATTAACAAAAAATATATACACAGAATTTTCAGTATTTATCTATTCAATGGTGACATATTAGAATTCATGGAAATAGGTGACTCCATCTTTGTCCAAGCACATGAATAGGTTGACAGCAGTCTTCTCGGGGGTTTGCTTCTTCACAGCACACTCTCTAACCAGCCTTTCTACTTTCGCCTTGTCGCTTACAGTAAGGGAGATTTTTTGTTTGATGACATTCAAGTCTAATTCACCATTCGGTTTCTGAAGACCTACAGCTTTTGATTCGCAAAGCATGTGGGCACCAACTTTGGGGTTGTTGATATTCTCTGCAAGGTGGTGTAAGAGTTCGTGGTCGACGTAAGTGGCTGGGTCAGCTTGGCATTTATCGTGGATCTCTTTAAGTTTCTTCTCTTCCTCGGAGAGGCTGGCAGCCTATCAAAGAAGAAATACATATTATAGCAATAGTAGCAAGAAGTAAGCCTAGCTGATTGCCAATTGAACCGTGCAAAAATAAGTATAGGTTGTTTATGAAGAGTTTCTTAGTTCACATTATATATTTATATAAAAAATATCATTACTAAAAATGCGAATATTGTTTCTGAACCTTTGGATAAAATATTGTTTTATAATGAAGTGAGTAAAAAGAATTGCACATTAACTTACCAAAGTTCCGACGATGACACATAGAAAAACAAGAGCAGTTTTCATTTTGATATTTGCTGTAGTATAGTTTCGCAGAGAATAAAAAACTGAATGATTTACGTTCCACAAGACTCACTTTATATATACGATAAAGGATAGACTTTGTGGGGAGCAGGTAATACACATGCATAATGAGTTTCATGAGAATTTTGCACTCGGTTCATAACGCAATGGTAGAATGATTAATTCGACGCAAATACGTAGTAAACAGTTACTTTTTCATGGCTTCCTTCTGTCAGACATGATGCTGACCTCTTTGGGGATTCCCTTTCTTTGAAGTTTACCATTCTAAAATTGTAAATGCATATCTATAGGTAATTCGTTTTAGAAAAATAAATAGACCATTTGTTGTTCTATTATTCGAATATAACTGTAAGAATGTCAAATAAATCTTATTTTTAGACTTTTAAAATATACAGGGTCGATGATATGTGTATAGAAACGGTCGATTACCTTCTAAAGTAGTTATCGAAAAATCATGACACAAACGTTTTAGGTTTTTTTTAATCTATTGCAATAAAACAAATTAGTATACAGGATCAGTTAAAAAGTCGTGATGAAACAAAGTTGGTTTTTCTTTAATGGAACACCATGTTTATTATTCCTATTGCATTCCTGCTCGAAAATCTAAACAAAATTCATATAGCACATCATGTACCTAAAATTAACCGTTTTCGAGACATATAGGTAACTTTGAAAATCATTTGTTTATTTATTTTATTATTTTAGTCCATAAATTTATACTGAAGTTACCTTTGAAAGTTTCTAACTCCATAACAAAGCCCCGTCGTACTATTGTCTAATAATGATTATCTTGACAAAACATGTTAAAAATACATTTAGTGTGAATAATCTTCTCGCATAAATGGCAAGTTTAATTGAAATCGAGCGCATTGAGGTTTTAATGATAGAAGACGAAGTTGTGACGAAGTAGTAGATTTTTTCACGCATCCAGATTGGGAACGTATTGCCAAATCAACCGTTTCAAAAACATTGCAGTGTTTTCATGAAACTGGAGGTGCTACAGATTGATGAAAAAGTGGAAGACCAGTAAGCGTTACAAATGGAGAAAATTATTTTAATGTCAAGTTAGATTTGGTGGAAAATCCAATAAACTTGAAACAACAAAGGGCTTCAAAGCATAACATGAGTCGATATTCCATTCAAAAAATTTGCAAACGGGAAAAATTGCATCCATATAAAATTCATTTGTTACAAGAATTGAGTAAAGGCGATAATGATCGTATAATCGAATTCTACGATGTAATTATGGTTAAATTAAAGGAAAATGTCAACTTTATCACTCATATTGTTTTCTGACGATTCTACATTTTGTTTAAACGGACACGTAAACCGACACAACTGTTAGTATTGGTCAGAACAAAATCCATATTAGAGGAAGTTCACACCCAACGAACACGACATAAAGTAAATGTTTGGTGCGGCATTATTGGTGTACACGTCATAGGACTCTATTTTATAAACAAAAATTTGACCTCTGAACGATGTTTATTACTTTTGCAGGAACATATTATTCCAGAGTTTAGACGATTATTTCCGAATAATAACAATTCCAATTTACTGGTAGAACAAATATGGTTTCAACATGATGGGGCTCCCACACATTTTGGACGTGTGATTTTATTAAAACTTGTTTTCTTTATTTACTCTGGTATAACCATTGTTTAAAGTATTATAGGAGAAAATAGTTTGAATATGTTGAATTTTGTATTTATTAATCGTCTCAAAAATAACTTCATTTGTTTGTAACTTTTAAATTTAAAATAAGCAATATTATAATTATTTATTTGAAACAAATAATAATTTACATAATAATAATTAATAACCGTTTATAAATATGAAATTTTTGGAGTGAGAAAATTAAATTTCATCACGATTATTGATTTATTGATTTTTTAATAATTTGCTGACATTAAATCGTCGGACACTTATATCACTATTTTGTACAGTAAATATAAAAGTGGAAAAAATGAAAATTAGATAGGTGGTAATCGATACTTTTTGACTGAATTAATTATTTACAATTAATCTTACTAAAAATTACCTATGTAGTAATTGATTTTTAATACCCTGTCATTTTGGCATGTTTCGGCCGGTAGACACGTCAATGTCAGAAGAATTTCTGTCGGACAAATTTAAATCGGTAACAAAATTTTCAGTAACTTACATACAGGGTGTTCCATTTAAAAAAACCGACTTATGAAGGTTTGAAGTTAACTAAACTCGGCATTAAATTTCTAACACCCTGTATGCAATTAAGCTAATTTGAAAGTATGGATGAGAAGCTCCATCCTCCCTATAAATATTGTTGCTTTATATTTCTTACTATAAAATACACATGGTTTGAAATTAGTTACTGTTTCTCTCTATTTTTTTGAAAGAAATTAAATATCTTGAAAACGGTTAATTTTAGGAATAGGGAAACTTCATAAAAGTTCACCTGAAATAACACGTAAATCCAAAATATATAGGGTGTTCCATACAAAATAAGAAAGTTGATGGCGACTTCAGGTATAACCGGAACTGGTACATGGTCGCCATTATTTTAGTTGAGAAGGCATGCCCGAAAACCTGGTATCCCAAATTTTCAAAATTCAAATCGAAGTAGTCTCTGAAATAATTCTAATGGGCCGTCACCGTGAGACACCCTGTATAGTAGATTTTGTTACATTAACCTGGTTTATATTCTAAAATTTCTTTTTTATAATAACGGGATGTATTTTAATTATGCACACTAATGTATTACTGTGGAAAAACATCCTGCACTGAGAATTGACATCTAAAGTACGTTTTTCTAAAGGGCATTTAGAATTGCTATAAAATATTCAATGACGAGAGTATAAATTTTCATTTGCATCAGTATGTTATTTGGGAAATTGGGACTGCTGTTCTTTTCTGTTTTCGCATAAATTATTTCTTAGTCATCACTAACGCATTTTCAAAACAAATCTAATTAAATTGTCATTTATTTGATTTGGTTATAAAAAGAATACAATATGTAATAGAGTCTAGGTGGTAATCTAATATTCTTTGAAGTGGTCACTATTTTCAATAACACATAATTCAATAAAATAATATTTTTCTCATTCTGTAGACTGTGACTTTATCAAACTTGAATCTCTGTGATTATTCATATTTGAGTAGCATTAAATTAGATGAATTCGATGAGAAACTGTAATTCATAATCTGCAGAATGAGATTGATGTATTGAGTTGCAGTGACCTTTGTCATATCTTATATCTCATTTATACTTATCCCATGCCTGTTTTTAAGAGATCATGAGTAGCTGGACCTTTCGTCAGTTCACCTACGACATACTGAGAAGAACTAATAAGTTCGAAATCGATATGTGCTTGGTGATTCGAAAGATCCTAGATATTGCGGGTATAATTAAGTGCTAGTCGGGGCGTTAGCCCACAGAATAGTTGATTGACACTTACCCCAAATCTGTATCGAAAATCTGTAGTTAACAACTTATAAAATAATTTAATACGGGAAAATATTTATAAAAACGAAACATTTACAAGAGAGGAAAAGTTTAAGAGAACCCTCAGCTTTTTCATATAATTGATTTTAAAAAGTATGGGCGTATCTGTATTTCGTACGTACAATTATTTCGGTTGCTATGTCAAAAAGTGACAACGATACTCATAAACTAACATATCAATTTCAAGTCGGTCGGACAAAGCTTATTTGGGAATAATTAGAAATTGTTATCAATTTTAACACCCTTTAGCGACTAAATGAAGCAACTATCTATAAAGATAAGTTTAGTTAAATGATCTCATTTTTAATGCAAGAGTCTATGGTAATTCTGGAACATTGAGACGAAAATGGCACCTAATCGTGATATCTTTGCATTTTATCTGATTATAACAGTGTTTTAAACAAAACCAACGTCTTGAATTACTGTTAGCATTTTTAGTTAATATTATGCGAGCAAAAGTGGAGTAAAGAGTAACTATTCTTTTTATTTAATTTGAACTCTTGATTTCTAGAGACTTAAAGCAGATTTTTTTTCTAAAAAGTCAATAACAGAATGCTTGAAATTCCGCATGCAATTCTCTGTACATTTAATATTTAATAAATGCATAAGTACTTTATTCTTTACATATTTTTTCACACATTTCGTACAATATTTTCCAGCCTTCCTAAGAGGACTTAAGACCCATTTCATCTTCAAATTCATTAAAGTATACAAACATATATACAGAATGTTACAGTAATTTTTAGAAGAAAAAAATTTGTAGGTACAAATTCCGGGAAAAGCTTAAATAATTTCGACTATTGCATGAATTTCGTTGATTTTTGATGGAATTGAGATAATTAGTTAGATTATATGTCATACTACTTCCTATTAAAACGAAATGTAAAAATTAAATTTGTAGTGAAATAAAACAGTATAGATTTGTATTGTACTGTGGTAATAGTTTTGACTAGATTTCATACAATTTATGACACAGCATAACAATAACAAAATTTGGTAAAAATTCCCCAAAATATTTCTGTAATACTTTTCTTATTTGAACAAAATTTCGTACAAACACTATTTTTGCTATTTCGCAATAATTCGCATTCGTTCTAATATGAGCCAACTTTAATTTATTTGACACAATTGATGATACTGGAACCTTTCCAATTTTTTTTTGTAATATTTCGTTTATATGTAATATATACAGGGTGTTTGTAAATAAGTGCGAAATATTTTAGGCGTAGGTGTAGTTGCCGAAGTTATTTTGTGAAAAAAGTTCATATAAACGTAGGTCGAAATATGCTTCGTTTCCGAGATACAGTGTTTAAATGTTAATTTTTTATTTATTTTTATTAATTATTTCAAAGATTGTTAAAGATTCGAAATTTGAAAAACGCTTCGGAGGGATAAATGTACATTTTTTGGGGGTCATCCGAATATTTCTACTTGCACCAGTGGCGTTCGTGAGAGAATACCGCAACCTTTTTTAATAAAAAAAAATGTTACGAAACTGACTTTTTCCCGTTTTGATATTTTTTTAGAAATCAATTCTGAATGAAATTGGTCTCTTTAATTTTTTTCGTAGGATGCACCGTTTTTGAGAAAAAAAATAAAACATATTTTATTGTTTGTTTTGTTAATCCTTTATTTTACAGGTGCAAGTAGAAATATTCGGATAACCCCAAAAAAATGCACATTTATTACTCCTAAGCGTTTTTTTAAATTTCAAGTTAATATCTCGGAAACAAAGAATATTTCGATCTACGTTTATAAGAACTTTTTTTCACAAAATCACTTTGGCAACCATCATTTAAAATATTTCGCACTTATTTACAACCACTCTGTATATACTAATGCTACTTCTGACACTTCACAAAAAGTTATTTTTGATGCTAGATTGCGAAAATGCTTCTGATTTTAGGAATGCAAAAGGATTTTGCAATCGAGTGTGAAACAACATTTTTTCGAAAACTGTATGTCATGGTTCAAAAATGATTAAAAATGTGAACAAAAATTATGACATTTAAAATTAATTTATTTGACATTGTGTATACAGGGAATCCCGGAAATGGTGGGCAATCTCTCGGATATGGATAGATAATGAGAAAATAATGTCACAAGTTTATATAAATTTTTTTCCTCCGGGCTCACCCTGTTAGTTATTAGCTCTTGAAGTTGAGAATTAAAAATGGTTTTTTTGCTGTAACTTTTGTATTTTTCAATAAATTTGAAAATTTTTTGGCCGGATCTATAATTTTTGAAGCCGCTTTGGATGATAATATGAAATCCTCGATAATAATTATGGGGGCCCGGGGGCAAAGCACCCCCCACCAAAATTTCTAGAAAAAAACTACCATTATTGACTACCATTATAACTACCCCAAATTTTCCATCATTTTATAAAAATTTATGGTATTTTACGTAAAAAAAGCATACTTGTTGAATATCCATAACATAGATATTTTTTATATAAACCCGTTTAAAGAGGAAGGTACCATTTAATTTGAGACATTTTATTTAATTGAAACACAGATTTAATCGTGGTTGGCTTTGACATGAAGAGCTAATAACTCTACAGGGTGAGCCCGGAGGAAACAATTTTATAGAACTTGTGACATTATTTTCTCATTATCTATCCATATCCGAGAGATTGCCCACCATTTCCGGGTATCCCTGTATATCATCTACAATTTACTGCACATATTTTACTGGTACTATCAAATAATTTTTGATTACACAGCTACACAAAAAAAAAACGTTGTATGTAGTTTTCACGCAACATATGTTATCCGTAGTATTTTTGGCTCCTGATCACAAATCCGCTGTCAGAATTGAGCTATCACATCACAGGAATTTCCTAACCTCAAAAAACAGGTCAAAAATAGGAAAAATTCATGAAAAATACAACAAAAATTTTTTTCTACATTCAAATGTTTATTTATATGGTTAAGACCCCGTCGAACGTGATTCTACGGTCCGAATTGATAGTTCTTTTTCTAACCTCAAAAAAACGGATCAAATAAGATCAGATATCACGAATTTTCAAAAAATAACACAATCGCGCCAAATTTGGTATACGGGGGTTTTCGGGGTCGCTGATCACGGATCCGAGGTCAATTCTGCAAAATTCGAGATGACGGATCCAAGGCGGCCGACCAAATTTTCAAAAAATAACAGATTCGCGCCAAATTTGGTATTCGGGAGTTTTCGGGGTCGCTGATTACGAATTCGAGGTCAACGTTACCATAAACTTTTCAAATTGAAACTTCTCTATCTGGAAAAAGAGACGTCTAATTGAGAAACGGTATAAGGAAAGTCCCTTCTGTTTTTGTATATCAGAGGAAAAATAAATACACAAGCAAATTATATTCAGAGTCAATAACTTAAATTAATAAAACAGACTATACTTTTATTTGAAGAAAGTGAGACCATACTAAAACATTTATTTCTTTAATATTTAAAATATTAATAAATTCCATAAAATGAATTCCAGTGAATACACTGATTATTTTCTAAATCAAAGGATTATTATCACTTATCCAGGAATTGCTTTGCATACACACGGGTTTTCTCCTTAACTTATTTTAAATCATAATGTTTTGAAATCTTTGAAATGGATAATTTAATTAATTAATAAAATATAAACTTTGTAGTAAAACTAATTTGAAGAACAGGAGAGACAATTCTTTTAATTTCATGTAATAGCAAGGTTAATGACGCCCCAGAGCGATTTAAGAATACCTGATCGAGCAAGGTAATAAGTGGCAGTACAGTGCAGGAAGTTTATTGCTGCTCATTTACCATAGTGTTGTAGTAAATTCCTGGTAGCTGCAATCAATGAGACAGCTTGGTCAAATTCTCATGAACCCGCTACCCGTATTATTATTAGGAATGTCCAGAGTTGCGTTAGTATAAATATAAACAACAGTTTACGATGTTTACAGCGCACAGAAGCAGTGTAAATCGTTTACGAAAATGAAAACCGCCTTAGTTCTCTTGAGTGTTATTGCGGGCACTTTGGTAAGTAAATTGTAACTGTGTTTGTTAATGATGATGAAGTCTGCATTGTTTTGGTGACTTTCGAATATTGTTGTCAAACAGAATAAAAAATTTAGTAAAACAAAATAATAACAGACAATTGTTGGGAAATTAATATATTTAGGAATTCATGACTTAAGTAACTCGATGAACAAAGAACTTGTCTTAATTCAAACTTAAAAAAAATCACTACTTTACTTTACTAATTATTTACCATTATTATTTAACTTGATTTGTAGGTACTTTTCTTGATTTTAAACAATGCTACTACTTCATTTTAAACAAAATAATCATATTATTTTCATAATTATCGAACAATTATTATTAAAAACTTCATAGCAATATGCAGCGTGTTTCGGGATATGTGAGATATCGATTGTGAGACAAAAATGTGAGAAATAGCCTTCTGGGAATGGCCCCACTATTAAAGTGTCATTTCCCAGAATAAAAAATTTACTAACTGCGCAAAATTTCATGCCTTAGACCCACTTTGATTCGTTGCTTAATTTTAAATTATTTAATTATTAAAATCTCCTTCCAGTATGAGGTACTACAACATGCTATTAGATAACACACCATTATTGTCTCTTATAAAATTCAATGCTCCTATCCATGTACACACTGTAGATATCAATTTTTAATATTCAAGTCAAATTTTCTATTTAATTTTTTTTAATAAAGTTTTTAATTTAACTCACAATCAGATCAAGATTGCTTGTTTAAGTAAATCAGTATAAAATTATATCTGTTACTAAAGTAATTTATATTTGTTTTTTTTTTGCTAAATCAAATACTAATTGTAACAACTATATGTACTTAACAGGTATATTTGAAGGCAGTTTTCCAAGCTAATTAGTTACAAATATTCGTAACAATTCTGTTAGAAGCTTCATACGTCTTAATTTAGTAAAGAAAATAGATGAAATCATGCATTTATATTTGTTATGCGGTGAATATATTAATATAAGTAATTTGTTGTTCACAATAAATAGTTATATTTTTTCCTTTTTTAATATCGCTGTTACTCATGTAAATATTAGTCAAGTAGTCTTGAAGATATATTTGACATAGGTATGTACTTGAAAAAGAAATACTTGTTGTTTATTTACATTACATTCTACCACTATTACTTGATTTAAACTTGCCTTCATGACGTAGCTATGAGTAGCATGAAAATTGCCCAGTCCTTAATTTTTAAATATATTTGCGCAATATGAAAAAAACTTGCCGCATGGTATTTTTTTATAATAATAAAAAGGAAGAAAATATTTAGCAATGTAAAAATAAGAATATTCCTCAATTTTTAATTCATATTCTTTCTTATATCTATCGCAGTTGGTGCAGAATTAAAAAAAATGGAGTTTTAAAATATAGTCGACGTTTCGATTTTATTTAAGAACTTCCTCAGGATCAATTTTATTAATCTAATATTTAAAAGTTATGCGCTACATGTTGGCTTAATTTTGCTCTGTTTAAGTTTATAAATAAAAAACAAAACATTGACTATATTTAAAAAATATCCTATACATGCAAGTTGAACCATAAAATGTTTCTCTATTTAAAATTTTCAACTTTTTCTAAACATACATACAAAATTTAATGTTTAATTTTAATGTTGATTGGAAAAAACTAGGTCTGAAATATTTAATATAATTTTTTGGTTTCGCTGAAATTAAAAGTTAAATACATATTTCTTCTACACCTTTGTTTTTAATTTCTGAAGTTAAACATTTTTCATCAGATACTTAAAGAGAAAGAGAGTTCTTATGTTTATACCTAAAATTCATTTAATGATCCAAATAAAATACAAATAATTGAATATCGAATTTTTTAAATATTTTTCCAAAGTTACATGGGTTTAAGACGATAACTTCTCATTAAATTAAAACAGACACCTTTTATCAATAGGCAGCCAGCCTCTCTGAAGAAGAGAAGAAACTACAAGAGATTCATGACAGATGCCAAGCCGACCCAGCCACTTACGTAGATCACGAACTGTTGCACCACCTTGCAGAGAATATCAACAACCCCAAAGTTGGTGCTCACATGCTCTGCGAATCGAAAGCTGTAGGTCTTCAGAAGCCAAATGGTGAATTGGATTTGAGTGTCATCAAACAGAAGATCTCCCTCACCGTCAGCGATAAGGCTAAAGTAGAAAGATTGGTTAAGGAATGTGCTGTGAAGAAGGAAACTCCTGAAAAAACTGCTGTCAATCTATTCATGTGCTTGGATAAGGATGGTGTTACTTATTTCCATGAGTTTTAATTTCCAAAAGTTCGAATGTGTAATGTCTTTATTTGTAAACGAGTATTTACATATTTAAATTTTAATTCAAATAGGTAACAAGGAATGTAAAAACTATATCTAGAATATTTTGTGTATTTTAAAAGTAAAGACAAGCAGAAGACTATAAAAGCCAAAGATATGAATTTCTAATTTTACATCAAATATCTTTTAAGAAATAAATATATTTTAAATGCATGGATACGAAAAATATTGTTATTTAAAAATTACCATAGTTTACTTCTTTTCTTTCATTTCCGAAATTGATCTTACGCAAACAATACTAAACAACAACAATGTATGAATTGTTGCTTATTATGCTTATTTTTAGAATTCATATAAATGAAATGTTATTTTTGTGGTGTAAATGACACATAATGTATGTACCACATTGAACAAGTCACATGTCGATCAGATAGATGTCTACCCCTAAAAGAGAAGACTACTTTTAATCCTGCTTTTAATGAAGGGTGTGTTTTATAAACAAAATACTTAGTTTCTGGGCATGTAAGACTAGCATGCCTTTCCATATCCTGCTGAAATTACTCGCTACAATGCTAATCTTTTAAACCATTTTCTGGTGTCTGGTATTGTTGCACTTTAAAATACAAACGCGAAAAATATATATCTAACTTAAAAATTAACATTATTTAAATACAGGCAACTTATTTTTTGGATTTTTTGTTTGTTGCGTGCTACTATACTCTTTAACTATTCGCATGCATGATTCAAAACACTTAGAATACCATAATTTAGCATTTATTAATTCACTGTGCTGTTTCAACACAATACTGAATTGCCCTTGACCGTTAGTAATCTTTTTGTGAATTTTGTCTTGGAAGCGAAAATTACTTTACATTAAATTGACGCATTAATTTTATAGAATATAAACCATTTATTTTAAATTAGATGTTTACAAAATCCTTACCTCGGCATACTATAACCTCGACATCACACTTTCATGGTTCATGTATGAATGTTCAATATTTGTGCAACTTAATGCAGATATTAAAAATATAGTGTTTGCTGGCAAATATTCGGTACATTTTTCTGTCTTGAACTGGTAAATCAACACAATTAAGTACGTTGTTCATAATAACTATTCAATATTCGTATAGCATTTCCGATATCAATTGAAGAACCACGAGGATGTCAGTATGTACCAGGTTCGGTTGTTGACTCAGCAACTCGGCATTGAAATATTTGAAAAACTTGTTTCCATATTTATTTAGCCATACCCATATATAGGTCTGGGCGAACTAAACGTGCAGGTGGTAGAAATGTATACGCCCAGTTGAAGAATGAGCGTGCGGGCAAGCAGCAATACGTACTGTTGCTCTGGTCGACTGCGTCATAAATTTCAGTTGTCGACAAGTCGCCTGGCAGTGCAGTGCGACAATGCGGAATTTGGTGTGATTCAGGTAATTTATTATAGGCACCTTCTTTTAAATCATTCATATCGCAATTGCGAAAGGGAGAAATAAGAGGGATATTTGGTTTACTAATATTATTACAACATTGGCATTTTGGAGACCTTTTGAAACGGAACAAAACGAAATTTTCCATCAATATAATAAAATTGTTTGAAGACATAAATAGTTAAAATAAGTTGTTGGTCAAATGGAGATACAATAGAAATTTTCTACACATTTCATACAAATTATTATAATTTTTTACATTTAGCAAAAAACTTTTTTAGGGACGCCTATGAAACTCATTAAATTTGATTGCTTGGTTTTGTTATACATGTTCAACTGACTTCGAAAAGACTATACCTATATTGAGAAAACTTCTGCAAATTAGATGGTTTTCTTAAATATGAAAACAATAATCACAAATAAAAAGATACATGTATTTTATTATTAGTTGTCGCATTTTTTTCTCTATTTTAAAGAAGATAATTTAAACAAATTCAATTTTCTTTTTATAAAATCTTATCAATGAAGTCAAACTATGCTCTTGGATACCAGAATAATATGTTGCACTTGTTAAATAATGCAGTCATTCAATAAAATATCCTGTATTCTCGCTGTCCTATTATCACCCTTAACAGAGGCTAATCACATAAACAACACCAGTTTTTTACGTGATTAGTCTTTGTCAATTTAATGCTAGTTGGGGCATGTAACTTATAAAACAATTGTTTTGCGCAATATCAGCAGTTACGAGTACTACCTATGGGGTTAAATATATTATACATACCCAGATTTTTGGTATTCCGGTTTGACTTCAGTTGATAAGATTGAAAAAAAAATGGATTTATTTGAATTAGCTTAATACTTTTAAGACAGAGTAAAAAAAGCAACCAATTGTTTTTCAAATGTGGAAAATTGTTTTACTTTCTTTTTATATTATTGCTACCAGAATATAATAAGTTATATATCAGGTTTTTTAACCTTAAATTTTTAAATATCTTGGAAAATATGCAGTCTATGGAAAAGATAATCATTCCGCGGAGGAAATATTAGTGGTAGAATTAGTCCTCCTTTCCCAACCTTGTATGTGGGACGGGGGGTAACTTTGAAATCTTATAAAGAAACTTTTATTTTTTTATTGGAGATTATTAGAGAAAAGTACGTAGAATTTGTCTAAAACGTTTTTTTCGATTCATGATAGAATAGAGTAAATAGAGAATAGAAAGTTTTACTTCATTTAGACAGTACAAAATTGTATAGGATTGGGTCAACAAACATTACAAATAAAACACATGTATATGACAATCATGTAATATTAACACATTTAAGTATAATACATACACATTATTTAATGTAATCACTAACACAATATATTTTTTTATTAAGAAATATTTTAGACGCTCTTTAAAACGTTTAAGGGTGCTGGCGCGTTTTATATCCGTTGGTAGTAAATTATAGGTCCTTATACCTATACTATCTGGAGATTTGTAAGTTATATTATATTTTTTAAAAGGTATATGAAAATTATCTTTCTGCCTGGTATTTTTATTGAATTGAATTTTTTTCGAATTCTTCTACTGAGAATATCGTCACTATTATCACGTAGAGGCGTATATGTATATCCATTTCCTGGATTATACGCCCCTACGTGATAAGGGGGACGATATTCATACCATTCTGCAATACGTTTGCAATAAAAATACCATGTTTTATGTAAATATCCTAAATTCGTTGTCAAAAAAGTTTATTAATTTTGCAAGTTTCGAATACCTAATTGAGAAATTGTTAACTGTAGAAACGTAAATGGGTTTATTCACCATAAATACTTTTAGCGTAACCCAGGAACAACTAGTAGTTTTCTGTTATCTTCGGGGTGTTTGATTTGGGTACTCTCACTTGAGTAGGTACTCGGAGTACTTGATTTACAGGAGTTCCCTCGCTTCATCATTCAGTTAAAGAGAGTGCTCAAAATGATGGCCCTCAACTTCAGTGCACTCATTAATCAGCATTGAAATCACTATTAAGTACTTCACGTGCTACCACCGAATAGTGTGCTGGACAACTATCATGTTGGAACCACATATTCTTCTAAGCTCAAGTTTTCAAGTAATGTTGACAGTTTCTAAATCCTATGAATGGATTCTCAGCAAGAGAAATCGAATTTCGTCCATCACAGCGCCATCTATTGTGAGTTGAAAAAAAAATGTTTCAGACAAATTCACATCTGCATTAAAAAATTGAGGGACTAATTTTGGCACTTATGTATTTCCTCCGTGTAATGATTTTGATTATAGACATTTATTTCGTAGAGTATGCTTATTTTTTGAAATATTTGAAAGATTCAGGTAAAATCACCGGAAATAATATTTATTATTAAAACTTATTAAATAGTAATATAATTAGGTATTAGTCAGGATTATAGGGGGTTCGGATTATCCATACGTTAGTGTGTCACATTTATTTGAAAATGTTTCAAATTATGTTATGATGTTTTTTACATTGGGCATTATTATTAATTGTAATTTATTAACTGTAAAAAACATGTTTTTCTTAACCTATTTGTCTATTCAGTGTAATAGAATGTTCTTGAAACAAGGAATAAAAAAATATTTCTAAAATTAATATTATTTGTTTCCTTTCAATTAAATATTGTCATGTAACAATTGTATGGCATAACTATATTTTAAATAATTTTTATAGATTTTTTGCAGCCTTATTTTGCGTATTTCTAGTAACTAATACCGGTATTCCCAAGGCACTCTTGATAAGAACAAGTCGCGAAGGTAGCAGTTACGATGTAAATTATTCGAGATAATTATGTTTAATCGGTTTTGAGAAAAATCTGAATGTTATGCAAAACAAATTGCAGCTTTTTCTACATATCGTGTACAATATTATTTCTACTCTTGCAACGCTAGTTTCTTTTTCTTCGAATTCTCTAAAACAAGATTTGGTTAAAATGCTTCAAAGACCGTAAATGTGCAAATTTATTCGCGTATTTTAGAATGGGGATGCCCCATGATGTAGATATGTTCTTATTTGAGTATGTATATAAGCAGTCAGCCATAGCATTGCCAACCAGTTGAACTGCAGTGCCTAAAAAGGTTAATAACAATGAAACCTGTCATAGTATTCGCCTGTGTTATTCTTGGAGCTTGGGTAAGCCAGGAGTGTGAGGTATATAAAATTAGAAACATGTTTAGATTGTTTGATAATCGTTTTATTGCAAGTTTTATAGTATTTAATGGAAATATAAATTAATTGAAATGGTTAGTTTTGCTGTTGTAAATGTGATACGAGCAAGTTTGAAAGTGCATACAATTCGATTTATTTATAAATATAAAAATATATTTTAACTGAATATCCTCATTAATTAAATAACCTCTTTTAACATAACATTACCTATAATTAATATAGTTTAATTTCAAAGTAACTTTAGAAGAATTTCAATAAGTTCCTTGGGCAAAAATTATCCACTAGTAAAAATAGGTTAATTAATTTATTTATTACTTTGAACTTATTATTATCAAAGAAATTATTCTTTATACACATTTCTAAGAAGCAAAATATACTTATTACTTATACAGGGTGTCTCATAATTAGCTGCCAACCCTGAACAGGCCGATTCTATGATCAAAACTAAGTAAAAAAGTTCATATGAACATGGGTCCGGAAATGCTTCCTAAGGGCACAGGGACCCATTGAAGAGGGAGGAATGGAAATCATTTTTTTGCAATATCTCTCAATCGCGTTGTGATAAATGAATGAAATTTGGTATACACAGCTAAATTTTGATGAGCAATTTGATGGACTAATCCATTTATTTCCACAAGGTCCATTGGGGTGGGTACGGGGGGGCCCTTGGTACTTTGCGTGTGTAACTTTTTCATCTTTGACTTTTTAACAAATTGGACAGCAAATTCCGTTTTCCCGAACTGTTTTACGTTAAAAAGGTACTCTTGTTTCAAATCGTTATCTTTAACGGTTTCTGAGAAAATCGCTCTTGAATTAATCCCACTTTGGTCAATTTCATAGTAATTTAAACAAAAAAAATTTTTTTGTTTAAATTTAATCTAATTTTAATAAAAAAATAATAATAAAAAATTAAATTAAATAAAAATTAATCCTTTAAATGGAAAAGAGAGGAAAGGAAAATTATTATTATTATTTTTTGTTTAAATTACTATGAAATTGACCAAAGTGGGATTAATTCAAGAGCGATTTTCTCAGAAACCGTTAAAGATAACGATTTGAAACAAGAGTACCTTTTTAACGTAAAACAGTTCGGGAAAACGGAATTTGCTGTCCAATTTGTTAAAAAGTCAAAGATGAAAAAGTTACACACGCAAAGTACCAAGGGCCCCCCCGTACCCACCCCAATGGACCTTGTGGAAATAAATGGATTAGTCCATCAAATTGCTCATCAAAATTTAGCTGTGTATACCAAATTTCATTCATTTATCACAACGCGATTGAGAGATATTGCAAAAAAATGATTTCCATTCCTCCCTCTTCAATGGGTCCCTGTGCCCTTAGTAAGCATTTCCGGACCCATGTTCATATGAACTTTTTTACTTAGTTTTGATCATAGAATCGGCCTGTTCAGGGTTGGCAGCTAATTATGAGACACCCTGTATAAAGATTTTATGAAAACATATTTGAATATACAAGGTGTTAATGAAATAAGTACTCAAAAGCTGAGAGTGTGTAAAAAATGTAGAAATATGATGAAAATCTTAGTAGAGCTTTTGCCAATGGTAGCCTTTACGGGAAATACAACTCCTTGAAAGGGAAACTCAGGAAATAATTTTTATTGCATAACTTCGAAACGGTTAATTTAATTAAATCACGAAATTTTGGGGTTGTATTACTTAATAGTTGGTATAATATACAAATCAAAATTTGCTACAAGGGCGTAAGAAAATGCGGGATCATGGAACAAACTTTACAATTTGTTTTTTGTACGCAATTTTTTCTACTTCCTGAACCGAAATTATGAAAATTTATCATGTTTTGCATAAAAAAGGTTCTCTTGTTAGATTTTAATAGCATGAGCCGTTTTCTAATAAAATCCATTTCAATAATTCGTTACTTGCTCAAAAATTTCTGCTGCAAAATAAATGTATCAAATTGTGCCATGAAAAAAATTACTATTTTTGACACTTAATATACTCAAATATATGTCAATTACTGATTATATACCGGGAGATATTAGACTGAAGTTCTACGACGTCTTTCTCGTTTATGCCTCTGAGAGTACTGAAAGATAACCGAGAGACGAGTACAATAAACTAAATTTTAAAGATGGGCTGCGGGACACCTTTGTGAAAATTCAATTTTCCTTTTCAAAAAAATAATGTGTACAGCGACGTATTTCTCACTTATGCCATGTTCATAAGTTGAAGAGAAGTATCGATTTTATCACAAAATTTGTTTGGTAAGTGTCGCAAGGGACCTACAAATGGAAAACTTTGTAAGAAGATGTGAAAAACATCTTTATTTGTCTACCAATTTCTCATTAATGCCAATTAGAAATATGACATTATTATATTCGAAAAGCTCATAAAAAACATTGACATTAAGTCCTACTAAGGACTTAAGAAAATAAGGCATTGGAAAAGCTGCGGAAAATTAATTATTAAATTTTCACATAGGTGTCCCGGTGGGCACATCGGTTTTTTCCATAATCTCACTTGTCTCTAATGTATCTTTCAGTACCCTAAAAGGCATAAACGAGAAATACGTCGTTGAACTTCTACGAGTATCTCCCGGTCTCTTAAATTACTTACTCAAAATTCCAATTTGAGAAATTTGAATAGGATAGATGATCCGCGCGGATTCTTCTGTGTCTGAACTAGTAGAATATTTTTTTCTATGTTTATTAAAGCAGGTACTATAATAAACAAATTCAAATTTCTCGGTTAAGTGTCACAAATAGTAATATTTTCATGGCACAATTTGATACAATACAACCCCAAAATTTCGTGATTTAATATTAAACCGTTTTGAAATTATGCAAGAAAAACTGTTTCCTGAATTACCCCTTCAAGGTGCCGTATCTCCCTTAGGGGCCGCTACTGACAAAAACTCCACTAAGGTTTTCATCATATTTCGACATGTTTTAAACATTCTCAAATATTGTGTACTTATTTCGTTTACACCTTGTATAACCATATATGTATATAGGTACTTCAGACTTTTTTTATTTAATATTTATATTAATAAGTTCTGCATTTTTAAAATGACATGCGTGTACCTATTTTATTTCAAATAAAACGTATAAGTTGGTATACGGATTGAAAAACTATTTCAAAAATATAAACATTTGTTTACACTTAAATTCAGTTTCTAGATCTTACAGCAAATGATGCTAAATGTTACACAAAACTTTTAAACTACCACTACTTATAAGGAATAAAAAACGTAATTCTTAAAAATGCTTCATAAAAGAGAAGGTAAATTCTAAAATGATTACATAAATCTAAAATCTTTTGAAGAAACTGTAAAAATTAAATTATTCTTTGTATTTACAATTTTTGTAAAGAATATTTTTTTGGGTGTCTATAATTTTTTTGTGAAAAACTTGACATTTTGCTGATACCAAAATTCTTTATCTAATACATAAATCCTCTTTTTGCATACCATTGAATGTGCTCATTTTCATGAAATGGGTATATGAACTATATGAGGCATACACTAATTTCTGTTGAAATATGTTAAAAAAATAGTAGACCTCCACAAGATAAATATGAACTATAATATTTTTTATTAACATTATTATTGAATTTCATAAAGGCAATAAATGTACTAAAAATATACAATGCTTCTAAGATGTTTACATAAAATTTGTAAATATATACAGTGTGTCCCATTTTAAATTAAAACACTTCGAAAAGTGGTATTTATTGTTCGATTTAATGTTTTTTTTTTTTGAGAAAAAATTATTATGTCATGTGGCATTTGAATTTATTACCACTTATTTTTTTTCATTGTTAACTTCAACAAAAATTGAATTTAAAATCAGACTTCGCCATTGGATTCTATAGCTTTTATCATTCCTGTTCTTCCTAAAAGGAATGTGCGATATATAAAAGCATACATTAAATGAAAGTGTTCAATAATATGCATATTTTAAGTAGTTCGATTCTAAATTAAACAATATTTTTTTATTATTATTATTATCATTACGAATAACAAACAAATACAAATAACAACATGAACTATAAAAACGTACAAAAAAATTGCAGTCCCAATCTAAAAATTTTCTCAAACCTCCATTTCATTTTATGTATTTACGAATATTTTTCAAAACAGTTCATAAATGTTTGGGGAGCAATTTCACTGTGAGGGTTAGTTACTCCCCTTACTTTTTCTCTGTTGGTTGGAGGTATTTAGTATACTTTTGATTTAAATATATCATAAGAAGCTAATATTTAAAAAGCGCTGAATCATTTTAAATGTTTAGTACTAAACATATATTTATCTCATTTAAGAATAACATAAATAATGAAATACATTAAGTATAATTATAATTAACAAAAATGTTTCGCGAAATTTGGTACAAATCCAATTGACAGCGACAGAATCCAGTGGCGTACTAAGATTTTAAATAAAAAATCAACGAAACAGACGAGCAAAATAACACGTAGTCTTTGATAAATGAATAATGAATATGACGTGTGACGTAATTGAGTTTTTTACATTTTTACAAAGTATTTCCATTTGAAGTGATACACTGTACACATAAAGAAGTTCAGTTATAAGTTAAGTTATCTTATTTCTTACCACAGAGACAGTTCTATTTGTTTCACTTATTAGTATGAGATCTCGGTATTATCGGATAATCTCTTCAGATATCGTTTCTACAGGGTGTTAAAAAAAGAGTGTAAAATATTTCAGGAGGTGATAGTATGAACCAAAATAAGCAGAAAAGTCTTAATAAACATGGGTCCGCAAAGTAACGGTTGCGGAGATATGGACCACTATTCGTTTTTCAAACATTTTATTTTATTAGGAATAAACCGACAAAGGAAGCTTTTAACAAACAAAAAACAAAGTTACAGAAGATGTTCAAAGTGCCCTCCGTCCATTTCCAAGCAGGCACGACATCTTCGTCTCAACGATATTCGAACTCTTTCGAAAACACCCTCCTTGGTTTGGATTTCTTGACACTTTTGATTAATCCGTAGCTGCAGCTCTTCCAGGCTATTTACAGGAGTACCATACACTAATGTCTTCAAATATCCCCAAACAAAGAAATCTAGAGGGTTCAGATCAGGCGATCTTGGAGGCCATAAAACAGGTCCGGCCCTTCCTACCCATCTATGTGGAAAAGTTTGGTGTAAATGCTCTCTAACGGCCATGGAAAAATGAGCTGGAGCACCATCATGCTGGAACCACATTTGTTGCCTCTGATTCAAAGGAATGTCTTCCAAAAACTCATACAGTGTGTTCTGCAGAAAGTTGAGGTAAGCAGCGCCTGTTAATCGGTTTGGTAAAACAACAGGACCTAGAAACCTGTCACCTACAATACCCATCCAAATGTTTAATGAAAAACGTGCCTGATGTCCAGATTCTATTAGAGCATGAGGATTTTCGTCGGCCCAAATATGCGTATTGTGAAAATTAAACACTCCATTTCTTGTGAACCCGGCCTCATCAGTAAAAAGAATGTTTGCAAGAAAACGAGGGTCTTCAGCATCATGACGTAGAAACCAGCGGCAAAAAACCAAACGTGCTTGATGATCATTTATTGGATTTAAGGCCTGTACTCGTTGCACATGGTATGGATAAAGCAGTTGCTCGTGAAGGATTCTCCAAACAAGAGGACCACTAATTCCTACCTCGGCTGATATTCTCCGCACACTCGTACCTGGATTCTGCTCTACCAGTGCTAGAATTTCTTCTTCTGCTCTAGGAGTGGATACCGACCTTGGTCTTCCGGATAAATGGCACTGTTTGCTCAAGGAACCGGTATCACGCAATCTTTGGTGAATTCTTCCAAACATGCGTTGTGAAGGAATCTGGCGATTTGGATAAGCGTCAACATAAAGACGTCGCGCTTCGGTGGCGTTCCCATTAGCACGACCATACATGAAATGCATGTCTGTTAATTCTGCGTTAGACTAACCAGCCATAGCGAAAGAAAACTTGTGCACTGAGAACAACTGTCATATACGTACTGTTTATTTCACTAAACATCAACCAACTATTATAAGAAAATACCGCAACTTTGCGGACCCATGTTTATTGAGACTTTTCTGCTTATTTTGGTTCATACTATTACCTCCTTAAATATTTTACACCTTTTTTTAACACCCTGTATAAAACTTTTGAAAATGGCTCCAAAACAGGAGTCGAAACGGCAACCCAGTGTATTAATTTAAATTTTTTAATAATTTTATTTATTTTTAGGCAACGACCTGCCTACTCAAGTTCTTTGGTTGAGAAAAGTTTTCTTGGAAAGCTATATTAGTATTAAATTTGAAGATTGAGCTGTTGCTTTGCGATCTCTATACGGAGTGATTTTAAAATATGCAGCCAATCTAGAACAGAAGACAGAAAGTGTAATTAAAAAAAATCTTGTGGACAGCTGTACCTAGAAAATGGATAAAAAAATTGTTGACGTATCATCTCTTTATTGAGATATCTTCAGGATTGGCAGTTTTTATAGTTAGAGTTGGCCCAAATATAAGTTTGCTAATACCTCTAAGGAACCTATATTTATCTAAAGCCCGTGTCTTACTTGTTCTTGGGTTTGGTATCAATTACATAATTAGTAATTTGGTCTAATAAAAACAGAAAACTTGCTAACTATGAAAAGCACTAGTTTGAAGATGTCTCATATGAAAAGATAAAACGTAGACATGCAGAAAATTGCATTTTTTTAAATTCTCACTTGACTGCTATTAATTTGGCCAATAAATTCCATATCTCCCGCAATAGTTTAGAAGGAAGAAGTCTAAGTTTTTATATCTAAAATAAAATGTCTCAATGTTAACTGATAATGTCAAATAACAGAAAAAGTACCTTTTGTGTCAAAAAGTAAGTTTTGCGTGTTTTTGCGATTCTCGTTCAGAAAAATGTATAATTTTTTTGTCACACAATTTTTGTGGAAAATAAAACAATTCTATTTATTTTGAAATCATTTAAAATTGTAACGTTACTTTTTGTACTTTTTCAATAAGCGGTATTCAAGCCCTGAGTGACACCACACTTTTTACCTAAATATGACATTTCTTTCAAATTGGATTTTTATTTTAGAATCATCCTGCACAGTAATCCTAACTTCCCCATACCTTGGAAATTATTTCAATTTTATATCCAATAAATAAAATCGTATTTCTAATATGTCCAGGCTGCCAACGTTCTGGTAGTCGAAGAGCAAAATCTCCACCACCTCCACGATGCGTGTCAATCCAACCCAGCTACCTACGCAGACCATGAACTACTCCACCATTTAGCAGAAAACATTGACAACCCACAAGTAGGCGCTCACATGTTGTGCGAGTCGACCAAAGTAGGACTTCAAAAGGAAAACGGCGAGCTGGATCTGGAAACCATTAAGAGCAAGGTTGCTCTGTCCGTGACCGACAGTGACAAAGTTGACCGCTTGGTGCAGGAGTGTGCCATCAAGAAGAAAAGTCCTGAGAAGACGGCTATCCACTTGTTTATGTGTTTGGACAAGAATGGGGTCACTTATTTCCACGAATTCTAGTAGGCGTAGCTGTAAGGTATAATTTCATGTTTTTGTAATGGTATAATTTAATAAATAGGTTTCTAAGTAGACTGTTTATTTGTTGAATAAAATGTTGTTAATGATAGGTAGTCCTGCAAGTTCCTATTTCTCCTATTTTATGGACACACCAAAAAAATTTTTGTAACTTTTCTTAATTCTTCTTAATTAATCTTAATTTTAATTTCTCAATATCTTCACGATAATGGAACGAAGCTACTTATTAGAAAATTATAAACAGATATCTGAGCCATTTTCAATTGAAAGGTATCTAAGACGGTTAACCCAGGGTATCGTTTTCATTTAATTTTTTTTTTGACATTTACAAAATGATGTAATCCATAAAGACAAATTTAGTAAATTTAATTTATTTAGAAATTAGAATAGAAACAGAAAAGTTGTAGTCCATTTAATGTAATTTTTCTTTATAAGTGAGATACTTAAAAGAGACCTAGTTTAGCGGTTAGGTCATAAGCTTCTTTCGAATTAAATATTTCTCAAGACTTTTGCCCGTCACTTATTTTTTTTTAATTTCTTTAGAAGATAACATCATTTTTTTAAATTGAGTCTACTGCTAAATTAGATGTTTCTATTTCTATCAAATGTTCCAAAAGGTATTTCTGGTTGTAGTCATCACAGTAGCACTCCACCAATGGGCAAATGTTGTACTTTTATAAACGTTGGTAGAAATGAATATGATCTTTAACTGTAAATTTTTCAAATTGCTAGCATTTTATCACATACTTATATTCTTACATTGAAAAGGAATTTGCAGTTATTAACAATATTTAACTCGAATCAAAACATACTACTTTAAAACTAGTTTACTAAATTTGTCTGTTCAAAAATAAGCATTATAACTGAGGTGAGGCACAAGGTGACATTTTGCTCTTGGACAACTAGGATACTGCTACTACTAGGACAATGTTGGAATTTCTCTTTTCTTTTTATTTTTTCTCAACTTAAAAATTAGGTATTACTTATTTGGAGAAAAAATTGATAAAACATTATAAACCCCTCCTCTTCCTGATTCTAGCGACATTATTCAAAACCTTTGAGCTTCTTTCCTCTGACCTTTATGATTTACATAGCTCTGATAACATGATCAGGGGCTTTGAAGATTTTGCTAATCCTCATTATGTAAATATAAATTAGTTTCAATGAATTCGAACAAAAGTAATAGCTTTTATGAATTTATTACAAATCTACTATAAATAAAGTAGTACAGACAAAACTTTACATCATAAAAAGGATACTTTAGAGGAATTTATTCAGTACATTGATTATTTCAGTAGCTACAGTTTCATTATGAAAATTAATTGAATTTTATTGTGTTTCTACTGCATAATGTGAAATTTGGACGAATTTGATATACTGATCTATTAGGAGATTTTGTAACATCATAAAATAGAACGTGAGGTCCCAAACAGTAAAGTGTCATTTCCTTGTTGACTACTGTGATATACGTAAATATAAATCATTGACAATGAATTTGATACGGAATATTGAATTTTCTAATCCATAAAGAAACAAATGGTAGGTATACAGGGTGTATCTTAAGTAGAGGTCAAAAATCCAAAGGCGTATTTTGTGACCAAAAATAAGGTTTTTTTTGTTATATAAATGTGGGGTCTTAGGACAACCATTGTCCAGCTACAGTGGCGGTGGTGTGGTTATCATCAATTATTATTTGCCAAAAAAATATATCACCCTGTATAGTATTACAAATAAAATAGGTCCTCATATGCGCCATAGTATTATCTTCACTTATTTTTTTACACTTTTTTGTATTCCAAACCGATTGACATCAAAATTTATTTATTTGATCAAGTGCGTTTTTACACAGTTACTTAAACTACTTAAACATATCTTAAGGGGGCCATGCAAATCAATAATAATAAGAAGCCGTCATCTTATTTAATATTGTGTATTGTCAAATTAAACTTTTTTTTTAAAGGTTATGCATATTCAAATGCTTGAATGGTCAATATGGTTTACGTTATGGCCTTGCAGATGGAAATGGTACTGAAGCTAGACGAATTTATATGGAAAGATTTCCAAAACATCCAACTCCAAATCCAAGAAATATCGGAAATGTTTTTCGTCTCTTTTGAGTGTTAGAACGCCTGAGTTGAAAGAAGCTATTCTACACGGAATTGAAGAAGACCCAAATGCAGGTTTTAGGAAGATCGCTGCAAATCTTGATGTGATTCATAAATTAGTTTGGTCCGTTCTGAAGCATCAACAGTTATACCTGTATCACATACAAAGAGTTCAATACTCACTGCTGCAAGTATATCCTGCTCACCTAGTTTTGCCACTGGATCTTGCAAAAAATTTACTCTTGACTTTAACGCTGACATATTGTTTACCGACGAAGCTAATTTTTCCAGAGATGCTATAATGAACTTCCACAATAAACATGTTTGGTCTGATGGAATCTCAATTTCAACATCAGTTTTCTTTGAATGTATGGGTGGCTATTATTGGAAATTTTCTTGTTAGGCCTTACTCTTTACCAAGAACTTGAAAATGTATTACGTGAACTACTTGACGATGTCCCCTATGCGCTAAAAGAAATAATGTGGTTTTTGCACAACGGGCCTCCCCTACACTTTAGTTTGAATTCTCGTGATTGGAAGAGGCACTAAAGAACTAGGACAACCTTGGCCACCCAAATCATCCGATATGAACCCTATTGATTTTTTTGTTTGAAGACATTAGTTTACAAGGTTCACATTGAATCTGAGGAGCACTTACGTCGACAAATTATAGCTGGTTGTGATGTGATAAGAGCTACTCCTGGAATTTTGCACCAGTTCGAGCTGCAATTTGAAGAAGATCTGAAGCATGTATTTTGGCTTAAGGTGGCCATTTCTAATCTTTTTTATAACAAATTATAGTAAAGTAATTTCATTGTTAATTAATTATCTTGTTATTATTTTAAGTTATGTAATGAGTATCGTAAAAATGCACTTAATCAAATAAATTAATTTTGTTGTTAATCGGTTTGGAATACAAAAAAGTGTAAAGAAACAAAAATTGAAGATAATACAATGGCGCATATAATTACCTAATTTATTTGTAATATTATATAGGGCGATATATTTTTTTTGGCAAATAATTATCGATGATACCCACACCTCCGTCACTGGTAAGTTTCTAAAGCTGGTAATTTTTTGTTTCATACCTACTGTCATAGTAAATATGCACACCGAATTTGGTTAAATTATCTCAAGCTGTTTAGAAATGAAAAATTAAATACTTTTTTTTTATTTTTGATGCGATATAGTGGACAATGGCTGTCCTAATACCCCACATTTATATAACAAAAAAACCCTTATTTTTGGCCACAGAATATGCCCCAGGATATTTTACCTCTACTTAAGAAACACCCTGGATAGTTGAAGCTTGAAGTGTAGACCTGTATATATCCTTTATAATGCCTGAACTATGTCAAAATTTCTTGGACTTGTATTTCGTTTATTTTCGTTAAAAAAATAAGTACTCCTCAAATCAGTTCTATCCCAGGACGAAATACTGTAATACAAAAATAATCTTAAAAAATAATAAAATATCGTTTGACAAATGCTGACAATAATTATTATACACAACAAAATAATGAGATAGTTAATATTCTGAACATGTTGATTTGTTGAGGTAGGTTGTTTATATTTACATAACAGATTTGCTTTATTACGTTGGTCACGTATACACAAAACAACAGAGCTAGAACTTTCCGAATCCGGTGTTAATAGACAATAAACAAATTAATGCAAATGTCTTTATTTATACATTTAGTTGGTCAACAATAATTGATAACATTATGTAATATCAGAATCACCAGTCAGTAACGAACACATACATTTAAAGGGCATTTAAAAGACATAGATGTGATTTACGTGTGAATTAATCATGAATAGGCACTTTATAACAATCGTACATTTATTTTATTTAGAAAATAGTAGCAGTAAGGAATAATTATCAAAATACTAAATATTATATTGAACTAGGCTCAGCTACCACCTGAGGAGAGGCAAACATTAAAGAAGGTCCATGCATCCTGCCAGTCAGATCTTGCCACCCGTGTAGAGAAGGAAAAACTAAAGAATATGGACAAATACTTCAATGATATTCAAGTTGGGGCTCACATGCGTTGTATGGCAACAAAATTAGGTTTTATAAGTGAACAGGGATTGATGAATAGGGAAGTGGTGAGGAGCAAAATAGCCCTGGTGACTCCTGATGAGTCGAAGGTTGACGTTGTAATGGAAAAGTGTGCGAAACAGCAGAAAACTCCGGAAAAAACTGCTGTTTTGCTCAGTCTCTGTTTTTACCAGAACGGAGTTCAATATCATCATGGTATATGAATTTGCCCAAAGAAATGTTAGCTGTAATAAACACAGAAAAGAATAAACTATTCCCAAACAACTTCAGTACTATACCATTCCCCCAAATGCTCTATTTATTGCGTTTCAGAGGCGAAGTTATAGTTAAGTTTTCACCTTATAGCATCAAATATTTGATTTAAATTGAATAAAATTTATCATCATGTAACAATTATTATCAACAATAACAAAACAAAGAAAGTTGTGATGTTCATTGTTCACCTTTGCGTGCAAAGGTTTCTAAACGCTAAAGAGGGTTATTTAAGATGTACATTAATTAGTTTGCAGAATCGTCGTAAGGAGTCAGAACTAATCCTTAGTTCATTTGTTTTGTATTAATATTGGGCAAGAAACACCTTGTAGAATTTTAGTAGTCGAACTAAGGGACATTTAGACACAATGACAAACAAGAACGTTGACAATTCGTCTAGATGAATATGAATGATTAGTTTTACCAATTCTAACGTATTTACCCTTTCAACTCATTCGTTTTAATTTTACATTATGTTTGAACTGAAATAATTCCCTTTGTTTGTTTTCCGTTTTTCTTTCTCCTGACTTTGTATTTATGGTGGCACGTGGTTTTGCAGTAAATCGATTAATGAAGCATTTGTTCAGTGTAGTATTTATTTGACTGGTATAAGTAAAGTTATATTAGTCCCTGAAAATA